TTGATTAACATTTCACATTGCTGAGACTCAGGTTCTTTTTTCATTCTAAAAAGGGCACCAGCCAGATGTAGTGGTACATGCCTGTAATCCCAGCACTGAGGAAGCTGGAACAGGAGGGTGAGGAGTTGAATGTCATTCTCCATACATAGGACCTTGTCTTAAGCAAAATCAAATCAAACCAAACAAAATCAGGGAATCATAGCTTCTTTCTTTCCAGTTGTAAACAGGAAATGAAGTAGTGAGATGTGATCCAATTTTTTAAATTGGATCCAATTTTATTGTTAGTAATACTGTTTTATCTTTTTTTTCCTGTGGACATCTGTGGCTCTTGCAAGGATGCCAGATGGAGTGATACCTCTGTTTCTTTTCCCAGAAATTGACTCCTTACTTCCAAACACCTGCTGTTTTTTGGTCAAGGCTACGTTTTCATTCTCCATGGGAAGAAACTGCATTCCCTTTAAAAATTCTTTGTCTTTTGTTGAACAGCCAGAGTCTACCTTCCTATCAGTTTTATGGGCAGGCACTCTCTTATATTCTGTGAAGTTCCTTGGCCTCAACTAACCCCTCCAACTTTACTATCTTTCTGCATTTCCACTCTCCGCTCTCCTACATCTAACATCACACAGACCCTGCTGTTCTAGACTTCATCCCAGGGATGGATGGGATGCCTTATCTCAGTTTTCTTTATGTTTATTGTGTGTGTGTCTTTGTGGGCATGTGTTTGCCAAGGGATGTGTGTACAGGTCAGAGGTGGGTTCTGGAGACTGAACTCAGGTTGTCAGGCTTTGCTATAAGCACCTGAGTCTTGTTGCTCACCCCACAACTCCATAAGCCCCATCCCGGTCTCAATTTCCTTTCTTTTAAAAATTTATTTTGTTTTGCGTTTGTGTTTATACAGCTATGTGGGCATGCCATGGCTCCTGGAGGAATGACAGAGGGTGATTTTTCAGGAATAAGTTCTCTCTTTCTGCTGTGGGTGTCCCAAGGATTAGACTCAGGTCTACAGGTTTGGTGGCAAAGACCTTTACTTGCCGAGCCACCTCCTTGGCCATTTTTCTCAAATTTCCATTACATTTCATCTGGTGTCCCCTAAACAGTCTCATCTTTAGACATGTTCCTCCTTTTAAATCTTTATTTGCTTATATTTACTTTAAAAATGATTGTAGTGTATGTATATGATATGTGTGTTTAGGTGTATATGCACCATGCCGGAGGACAACTTTTGTGTAGTTTGTGTTCTCCTTCCACCTCTTTTATGGATTCAGAGGATTCAACTTAGATTGCCAGGTTTGTGCTGCAAATGCTTTTACCCAGTGAGCCAACTTGTTTTACTGTATTTATTTTTATTCATTTTTAGAAAGGATCTCACTATATAGCAAATTCATGGCCTTGTTTTCTTTTTTCTTACATATTCCTAAATATATTCATATATATTTATATTCCTAAATATGTATATATATTCATAAATATATAAATACAACCTGTCCTGTCTGGATAATGTTACCTGTATGTATATCATCTTAGGGCTGACAACTTGGTATTGGATAACCAGTTGGGGGCTCTTTCTGTGGCAGACCATTTCTCCCACGCTCTACATGTCCCAGTGGCCTGTAGATCTTTGTGTAGGGTTGAGATCCCCTGAGCTTTCTTCCCCTATGACAGCATGTCCATTGATGTAATTGTTGCTCGGGTCCTGCTTAGGCAGCTATGTAGGTGAAACTTCATGGGCATAGGCCCCTCTGACATTTCTAGGAGACAGAATTCCTGTAGGAATTCTCCGGTTGGTCCCTTAGAGTCTTTCAGACTCTCTTCCAAAGTGATCCCTGAGCCGTAGGTGTAGGAATTGTGTTGTTGATGTGTCAGTTGGCACTTAACACCACAGGATCTTTTGCTCTCTGCATTTTGATTGGTGGTGATTTTCTGTAATGCTCTCCGGCTCTTGTAAAGAGAAGTTTTCTTGGTGAAGGGTAAAAACTAAACTTAATCTGTGGGTATAAGGATAAATATTTAGGATGTAGTTAGGGATGATGCTTCCCCCTCTTTTTTGTAAAGCAGTGGTTGTAGTTTCTCCTCTAAGATCCATGATTTTACTAGCCTCAGGTGGTTGGCTAGGATTCCAGTATCAGGTATGATTTCCCTCCTGTTGAATGGGTCTTAAGTTCAATTAGGGAGCTGCTGGATATGACCAGCATGTGCCACTCCCGTACCCTTAGGTTCTTGTGCCTTGCTGGTCCTTGTGGTTCATAGGTGTTACAGCTGAGTGATACTGTTGGTGCCTCCCTCCTTTGGAAGCTTGCATGGCACAGTTTCTGCTACCATGAAAGCCTAGTCCTCAGGGAGGAAGCTTTAGGTCAGATCCTGCTCAGGGATTTCTGGACCCTGTATTTGAAGCTCACTGTGTCTTCATCAAAAAGGATTTATCTTCCTCCTCTGAGAGGCAACCAAGGGCAACATCAATAGCTTATAATGTTTTAGGAGTCTCTTGTACAACCTGGACCAACAATTCAAAAGGGGGCTTTTCATGCCTGCTGTCGGGGTTTGTTGTTAGATGGTCTATGGCTCTTGGAGGGAACGTTATTAGCCCAGATGGAAGATTTTCACCTAAACTGTATATGTATAGACAGACTTATATGTATTATGTATAATTTTAGGTAGATACTAATATGATACTTTATGACTTTAGTCTCCACCCCTCTTCTTCTGCATTGACTTCTCATTTTTTTCCATGTTTCCCTTGAAGGACCTTTAGGTTGTTTCCGTTTCTTAGCTATTGTTAACAGAATACCAATATTTATTTTGTTTTATGTGTATTGGTGTTTTCCCCGTATTTCTGTGCACAGCTTTCATGCCTGGTGCCCGCAGAGGCCAGAAGAAGGTGTACTATCCCCAGGAACTGGAGTTACAGACTGTTCTAGGCCACCGTGTGGGTGCTGGGAAATGAATCTGAGTCTTGTGGAAGAGCAGCCTCTTAACCACTGAGCCATCTCTCCCGCCTCTTATTTATTTATTTCGTGCCGATACAGGTTCTCCCGTAACCCCACTTTGCTTCAAGCTCACCAGTAGCAAAGGATGACTTTGAACTCCCTATCCTCTTGTTTCTGTCTCACAAATGCGGGGAATACGGGCCTGTACTACCACACTGGCTTTATGTGGTGCTTGGGAATCAAATCCAGGATCTCATGTATGCTAGGCAGGTACTCTATCAAGTGAGTTATAACCCATACCCTTTTTAAAAATTTATTTAAATTTTTATTGAGAGTGTATGATGTGTGTGTGTGTGTGTGTGTGTGTGTGTGTGTGTGTGTTTGTGCTGTAGCCCCCATGTGGAAGTCAAAGGACATCTTGGGGGGAGTTAGCTCTCTCCTTCCAACATGTGGGTTCCAGGAACTGATCTCAAGTCCTCAGGTTTGTATGGTAAGTGTCGAATCACTGCGCCATCTCAGCCCTCTCCCATTATTTATTCTACAGATTTTTTTTTTATTTCTAGTTTTGTTTCAGTGGGTTGGTGTGTGCAGATGCCAGATGCAAGTGCCATAAGGGGCTGGAAGAGTGGGATTTTCCCGGTGCTGGGGACTGAACTTGTGTCCCTGGCAAGAGCAGTAAGTACTTAACTGCTGAGCCATCTCTCCAGTCCTCTAGTTTTTAAAATTAGAGACACGGTTTCGATATGTATCCCCAATTGGCCTGGAACTTGCTGTGTATCCCAAGCTGACCTTAAACTTGCTTTTCTCCTAGTCCCAAGTGCTGGGATGACAGATGTGTGCCACCAAGCCTGGCTTTCCTTTGAAATCTTGACCTTCAATATCACAGACTTTGCTGCTAAGCTCCTCTGTGCTTTTGCTCTCTTCAGGCCCTTCTCCTTGCCCAGCAGGATCTCACTGACTTCAGTCTGTATTCTAGGATTTGACCTTCAGCCTTCTACTGCCATTACCTTCTTTTAAAGAGGCTCCCACTTGTCCTACTTGACAGCACCAGCAAACTGGTTTTAGCAGTCACCTGTATTTATGTGGATTAAACTGGACATCAGTACACAATTCACAATTGTCTTTCTAAACTCCACTAGGTCTTCAAATAACCCTTGTGTGAGTTTTGCTTTATCCTGGCTATTCAAAAATTTTCATCATCATTTGGGAGGCAAGGGCAGGAGATCTCTTTAAGCTTGAGACCAGCCTGGTCTTCTACATATTGAGCTCCAGGTCGGCCAGGGTGGACCTCTTTCTGTTGGTAAGGTCTCACATATCCCAGACTGGCCTTGAATTTATTAAGTACCCAAAGAGAATCTTGAATTTATGATCCTCCTGTTTCTACCTTCCATTGCTGCTAATATATATATATATAAATATAAATATAAAATATGCCATCATGGCAGATCAGTGTTGTATGTTGACGATATATGTGATTGTGCGTTTGCTAGGAAAAGCATTCTACCAAGTGAGCTACATGTCCACCCCCAGCCTGCTTCAAAAACCAAAAGAAACTAACCAACAGACCCCCAAAGGGATAACAAAAACAACCAAAGAAATAAAACTTCCACGGCTTCCCTAAAATTTCAACTTCCTTCAAATCTCTGTCTAGTTAGATCCTTTCCTTTTTGGTTGTTTTATCCTTTTCTTTACCTGAAGCAACCTCCGTCATCCTTTGCCACACTTTTCTTTTAAACACTCCCTCCGCCTAAGTCACTTTGGAAGCCTTCTCTCCTACTTTCCTCTGCTCCTCCTCTCTAACTTTTTGCTAAGGAAGTTCATTTACCAATGGACATGTAGATGGGCGGTGAGCCCCTAGGCAAGAATTCTGCTTTGTTTTTCTCCTTTCCCAGCTTTGGCAGTGTTGGCCTCTGGGCTTCACTGTAGGGGCACGGTCAAGCATTTGTGGTGAGTGAAGTTGGCGGGAGAATCGGGAGAATCGGAGCAAGGGGCTCTGCTTGCCAGGTTCTGAGCTGTCCAGGAGCATTCATTAGAGGCTGGGCTGAAGCTCACTCGCTTACAGGAGGGAGGGGCAGGCCCAGGCTGAGCGTGGCCTGGGGCCAAGGGCGTCTAGAGCGGAGGGTGATGGGAGCTGCCTGTGCGGTAGGAAACACTTTTTAGGCGCTTGTTTTGTACTATCGCTGGAACCCACCGCTGCAGCACCCCCAATTTCACAACCAGCGTGAGTCAGCTGGGTCGGCTGCGGGACCGCGAGGGGAAGGTGGGTGAGGAGGGTGCCTCAGTCCCTGGGGGGGGGGGGGCAGGACCGAGTGGTGACTAGAGCACCCTAGATGAGGTCCCTGCTCCCGCAGGACAGGTGAGCGCCAGGTCCTGCTGGCCGCTGGGTGGAGCTGCGTGAGCCACACTCCACGGCGCCCTGGCCACTACACAGGTAACTCCCTTCTTGGGCCTCCCCCGAAACCCCTCGGGCCTCAGTGCCCAGACCACCATGTTTTCCCCGGGGCCATTTCGGCCTTGCCAGGAGCACACTTGGGGCCTGGATGCTTTTGTCCCTTTCCCGCTGGTGCCCACGCCCGGCCCACAACCGTTCGCTTCTTGCACATAGTGCTTGAAAACCTGAGCGATCGAGCAGGCCTTTGGGACTAGGGGACGCCCACTTGCGCCCATTGCCGATGTAGCCAGTGACTTGGGGTCCAAATCGGCGCGTCCCTGGGGTGTGTCTCTCCTCACAGGATTCCGCACCCCCAAGCCCTACTCCCCCCCCCCACCTTTGTGGATCCCCGAGATGGCGTTGGCGGAAACGAAACCGCCTGCAGGGATGATTCGGATTTTGAGTCAGCTTTCAGCGTACAGGTTAAACAACAACCCTTTTCTGGCCTCAGCATACTGAACACTACCGCCTGGGGGGAGGCCGACTTGTACTTTATGCCCAATAAATTTTCCACTTCACCTCGAGTCCGGGGGGGGGTGTTTTAGCCTACCCACAAAGGTCCATGGTGCCCCTTTTCTAATCAGTTTTGATGATCATCGTCTTGGCTTAGTTTTGTCAGTCACAAACATCATAAAACGGACTTATCCAGTAAGTACTGTTTTGTGTCTGATTTACATTACTTTAGAAATGAACAGCATTAGAAAGGTGTCTTTGGGTGTTTCTGTTGCTGTCGGCCTGCACAGTGGAATGAAACCACACATGTTTGGCAAGTTGGAAATGAGATGTGCTTTAATAATGTGCATGTTTTCCCCCAAGGCTTAGTGCAAAGCTTGCAACATGAAGCTCACAAGTAGATTGCTGCATCCATTCCAGCATTTCTCTTCCCTTTAAGACAGGGTCTTATGAAGATCTCCGGAGTAAATTGGGAGCATGGGGACCATGGGAGAGGGTTGAAGTGGAGGGGAGAGGAAGGGAGGGGAGCAGAGAAAATGTATAGCTCAATAAAAAAAAGAGACAGGGTCTTATCTAGCTCAAGTTGGCCTCAAACTCATTCTTTAATCTCCACATCCCAAGTGCTTGGATTACAGGCCTGCACCAGCACTCTAAACCAATGATTACAATTTTGAACTTGTTGGGTTCAAAAATATTGTAAGATCTCAGGGAGGTGACTCCCAGCACTCCCACTCATGAGTCTCAGGGAGGAGGACAGTGATGTGGTGGCTAGCCTGGACTACAGAGTGAGATTCCCTCATCTAAAAAATTGAACATCATCATCATTATCATTATTATTATTATTATTATCATTATTATTATTATTATTATTATTATTATTATGGAATGATGATGTAGCTGAGGCAGTAGGGTGCTTGTCTACAGTTTGTTGGAACTACTGGGTTTGATCCCAGTACTATGTAAACCAGGGATGGTGGTGGTTTCCCATGGCGACCTTTTGAGTTCAAGGCCAAATTAGACTACCAAAGGAAAATATATATTTATTGTTAATGGCATCTCTTTGTTCTTTTTTTTTTCCAAGATAGTTTCTCTGTGTAACAGCCCTAGCTGTCCTGGAACTAGTGTTGTGCCCAGATTACGACCCCCAGAGAGGGACCACCAGAGAGGCCCAGACTGTAATAAGCAAGGTTTAATCAGCATAATATAAACACGTTTGGAACTCATCTCCATCCCCGTTATAGCGAGATAGAGAGGAGTTGTATCTCCTCTGTGGGGTAAGCTTTTTAAAGGCATAACTACAAAGAGAATCTTTGAAGCTGCTTTGGCACGGATGCAAGGACTTTTGCCCCCTCCCATCTTGCTAAGTCAGCTTTTTCCTTGTTCTTAGAGCAAGGCCACTGTTCTTGAGTTAGGCCATCTTTATCAGCCTGTACCAGGTGGCTGGCCTGGCTAAGTGACTTTGTGCTCGGAATCTCCCAGGTGGGAGAGGGGAAGGCCACTATCTTCCTGGGAAAACATTCTGCTAGGGAATTTCTTCTCGCCCCTTTGAGAATAAGGGCTGAGAGTTCCATACTAGCTCTGTAGACCAGGCTAGCCTCAAACTCACAGAGATCTGCTTGCCTCTGTGTCCCGGGAGCTGAGATTAAAGGTGTGTGCCCAACTCCTCTTACTTTGTTTTAATTAAAGCATTACATTTATGTATATGTATATATGTGTCCATGTATGCGTGTGGGCAAATGTGAATGTCCATCCTATAGTTTTAATTTTTTTCCCAAACTTATTTTCTTAGCAAGGGTAGAAAGGACTAAGATGGACATGTAACTCAGTAGGTAGGATACTTGCTTAGCATACATGAAGCCCTGAGTTCAGACCCCAGCACTGCATAAAACAATAAAAACCAGGCGTGGGGCTAGTGTAATGGCTTAAGCTAGTTAAAAGTGCTTTTGGAGCAAGCCTTGAGGACCTGGTTTCAATTCCCAGAACTCATGTAAAAAAAGCTGAGTGCAGCTGGGCCTGGAGCTCAGTACCGAAATGCTTGCCTAGCATGTGTGAGGCCTTGCATTCAATCCTCAGTACTAAAAAAACCTGCAAAACTAAATCTGTAATAATTTTTTTTTCTGGGTGTCGTGGCATAGGCCATGCCTCAAAACAGAGTGAGAGGAGAGAATTAACACCTGGAAGTTGTCCTCTGATCTCACTATGTAGAACTTTCAGAGCTAGGGAGAGGGTCTAATTGGTTCTTGCCTCGAAAACACGAGGATATAAGTTTGATCCCCAGAACCCATATAAAAAGTCTGAGCATATTGACCCATGTCTGTAATTCTAGTTCTGGGAGGATGGAGATAGGAAGTTCTATGGGGCTCACTGGACAGCCAGCCTAGCCTAATAGGTGAGTACTAGGCCAATGAGAGACCCATGTCTCAAATGAAAATACATCTGAAGTTGTCCCCTGGCCTCCATATGCATCTCCATTGATAGGAATACATGGGTGTGCACACAGAAGCACATGCAAAAAAGAGAGGTGATATGTTGTTTTTAATATATAGAGAACTAACAATTGTCCACAATTCACTCACCTAGATATACTAGCATGGTGATTTATTTTTGACTGAATTAGGAAATGGACAATTAAGATTTTCCTCTTAACATGAAAAAACATAGATGAGCCTCCATTATATTTACATTATATATCAATTTGCCCCCATGCAACAAAGTTATTTCTTTTCATTTAATACAGTCTCATGTAGTCCATGCTAGCCTTGAATTCCTGATCTTCCTACTTCAACGTCCCATGTACTGGGATTACAGGTATACATCTTGCCTTTCTGAGATGAGAGCTCATTTTTTTTTGTGTGTCAAAACATATTTAAAACGATTGATACTTTGATTCCATTTTCCAGATAAAAGAAAGTGTAATTGCCTTGCTTACATACAGTTTGCACAACCTGGAAACATTTTCCTATGCTTCTAAATCTTAGGGAAATGTAGTTTGTCATGCAAAAACTAAGTACAGTTCAGAATCGAAGTGAATGGAAAGTCAAGGGAACAGAGGCAGCTGCTTTCCTGGTATGAAATAGCCTTAGTTTGCTGTCTGGTGGTAGGAATAAAAGCCACAAAATCAAGGGAGGGTGGTAGTTGGCAAATATGAATAAAAGTGTGAGAGCTGGAGAGATGACTTAGTAGTTAAGAGCACTGGCCGCTCTTCCAGAGGACCTGGGTTCAGTTCCCAGCACCTACATGGTAGTTCACAACTGTCTGTAACTCCAGTTCCAGGCATTTGCAGGCACCAGACATGCACATGGTATATATATATATATATATATACATATATATATATATGTATATGTATATATATGCAGGTGAAATAACCATATGTGTAAAATAATAAAACTTTTAAAAAGAAACAGTGTAATCATACATGTGTATGAAAATGTCACAACAAAAACCCATTACTTTGTATGCTAACTGGAAAAATAATGAAAAGAAAAGAAGCCTACAAAATAATACTTTGTCTGTAGTCCTAGAATGTGGGAGGTGGAAGCAGGAAGGTTAGGGGATGAAGGCCAGCCTTAGCTACATAGGGAATTGGAGGCCGACTTGGGCTATATGAGACCGTGTCCTGGAAACAACAGGAGCAGCCGTAGCAACAGCAGCAAGTACACCTGCTCCACCCCAACAGCACCAAACTGGATGTGGTGGTGTGCACCTGTGATTCCAGGACTCAGTAAATTGATAAGGACAATCATGAGTTCCAGGAAAGTTTACTATAGACAGTGAAGCCCTTTCTCAAAGAAAAATCAAAACCCAAAAAACTGGTTTCCAAAGGTTTGAACATTTAGACAGAAAAAAAAGCTATATACTTTTGGAATATATATGTATTTTGTTTGATATGCTCTCTACTGATGAAAGAAGGTTTCTACTCAGTGACCTTTTAATTTCTTTTTTCTTAGGATTTTTTTTTTTTTTACTTTATATGAGACACTGTAGCCAATGTTGGCCTAGAACTCTCAGTGATCCTTCTGTGTCAGTCTCCTGAGAGTACAGGTTAGGTGTAAACTACCATGCCTGTCTTGGACTCTTATTTATTCATATGCTTTTTGGTTTTGTTTAAGACAGAGTCTTGCTATGTAGCACTGGCCTAGTACTTGCTGTGTAGCCCATATTAAACTCAAAGTCTTGGCGATCCTGCCTTGGCCTCTTTAGTTTTTCTTTTTTCTTCTTTGAGACAGGGTTTCACTCTGTAGCTACAACTGGTGTGGAACTTGCTATGTAGATCAGGCTGGCCTTGATCTTATGGATATCTGTTTTGCCTCCTGAGTGCTGGGACTAAAGGACTGAGCCTCCATCCTAACTATGTTGTTGTTGAGACTGTGTCTTACTCTTTAGCATAGTTGGGTGTGCAACTCATGTAGCCCAATCTGTGTTTGAACTCCGAACTGTCTTCCTGCTTCAGTCTTCGGAGTACTGGGATTATAGGCATTGGCTACCTTGCCCATTATTTTTTCAGATCTGACTTTTTGTTTGTTTGCTTGTTTTCCAAGACAGGTTTCTCTGTTTGTAGTCCTTGCTCTCCTGGAATTCATTCTGTAGACCAGGCTATCTCTCGAACTCACAGGGGTGCCTCTGTTTCCCAAGTGCTGGGATTAAAGAGCCACTAGCTCAAATCTGATTCTTAATTTGCTTGTTTTTCAGATTGCATTTGGGTATTGGCAGCCACCCATTTGCCCGCCAATGAAGTATATCCTGGTTACTGGTGGGGTCATCTCAGGCATTGGTAAAGGGATCATCGCCAGCAGTATTGGGACCATTCTCAAGTCATGTGGACTCCGAGTTACTGCCATCAAAATCGACCCCTATATTAACATCGATGCTGGGACTTTCTCACCTTATGAACATGGTATGAAAAGGAATATTTTCTTTTTAAAGTGCTAAAGTAATTCACAGTGGTTTCTTGTGTGTGTTTAAATATTTATTTACGTGCATAGGTGTCTGTAGATGCCGTATGTATGCAGGTGCCTACAGAGGTTGGAAGAGAAAGGTCCCCTGGAGCTGGAGTTACAGGTGGATGTGAGCTACCTGACATGGCTGCTCTGGGACCTGAACTCTGGTTCTCTCTAAGAGCAACAAATACTCTTAATTGCTGAGCCATCTCTCCATCCTCTTGTCTTGTGTTTTGGGTCATTTCTCTAGTATAGGCTTCCAAAAGTAGACTTGCTGGATCGTTCCTTAGAAATGTGTGAAAGTTCTTAAGGCTTTTGATTCATGTTTCAGATCACCGATGACATTCCACATAGTCAAGTCTTATGGAGATGTACCACTTTCTATGGACTGTATCTTGTTTTATTTTTATCACAAAATATATTTCTCTTAACATTTCCCCTGCTGGAGTAACTGTTATTAATATTGACATGTTTGGTGGGTATGCATACATGCATACATGAGTGCATGGGTGCATCTGTGGTTAAATAGTGTGTGTGTGTGTGAGAGAGAGCGAGAGCGAGAGCGAGAGCGAGAGAGAGAGAGAGATTGAGATTGCTTGAGATTGTGCATAGATGTGGAGGAAAGAGGTTGATCTCTGGTGTCTTCTTTGATTACTTTCCACCTTATATTGTGAGGTGGAACCCCTCATTTGAACCCAGAGGGTCTGGCTAGTCTAGCTAGCCAACTTCTGCAGGGATCTCCTGTCTCTGTGTCCCAAGTGCTGAGTGCTAGAGTGTTAGGATCATAGGCAGGATGTTGTGCCTACCTGGCATTGACACGGGTGCTGGGAATCTGAACTATGTCCTTAGGTTTGTTGCTACACAAACACACTGTGACATCTCCCTGGCCCTGACATATTTTTTTTTTTTGATCATACTATAGCCCAGGCTTACCTGAAATCCACTCTAGTTCAGGCAGACCTCAGATTCATAGCTTTCCTCCCATCTCAACTTCCTGAGTTCTGGGATTATAGGTGTAAGTCACCACAACCAGGCATTTTGATAAGTATAAATTAGTTATTTTTAAAAAATCACTAATACCAGGTTTGGTAACACATGTCTATAATCTCATAATTTGAGAGATGAGAATGGAAGAATGGGGCTTCAGGGAGGGAATCAAGGCCAAGTTTAGTCAGCTACATAGTCAGTTAGAGGCCAGCTTGGGCTACATGAGACCCCCCCCCCCACGTCTGATAACAACTACAACTTCAAGGCAAGCATGGGCTACTTAGGACCCTATCTAAGTAAAACAAAACCAAGATGCCACATAACTGTCGAGAAGTGAGTTTGTATCCCAAGCACCCATCTAAAAGTGTGGTGTTGAACTTCTGAAACTCCAGCACTGTTGAGGCAGAGAAAAATGGATCTTAGTAGAATGAATGTTTTCCAGTTTCAGTGGGAGACCAGTTGAGGTGCAGAGCAATTGAAAAAGACACCCTGGCCTCCATATGTACACACATATTTGGACACTTGCATCCACATTCCCAAATATCCACAGGAACACATACGTACATCACATACCCAAATAAAAGGCTTTAATTTTTTGGTATTTTCTTGTATTTTTATTAGTGTGTGTGTGTGTGTGTGTGTGTGTGTGTGTGTGTGTGTGTGAGGTTTGAATTCAGATTGTTAGGTTTGGCAGCAAGCACCCCTACTTGCTGATCCATCTCTTAGGCCCTCAAACCTTTTTTACATGCAAGCAGAAAAGTGCATAAATCTTAAATGTACAGCTTTGATGATGAATTTTATCTAAATGAACTTATTGTGTAACCAGCCTTGATCACAGAACAAAAATCACCTTTGTGGGGCTGGCCAAATGGCTCAGTGGGTAAAGTGACTTGCTGCCCAACACTACAAACCTAATGACCCTACTGTTCCTCAGAACCCATCATACGGTAGAAGGAGACAATCAACTTCATAAAATTGTCCTGTGACTTCACATGTGAGCCTTGGCACAGGAGCCCCCACTCCATCATGCACACGCACAATGATAATAAAATATTACAAAGGAAAACAGTGAAATCCCTTTTGTGTCACTTGTTCTCAATCCTTAACTCTCAGGGTATCTTCTGTCCTGTTTTGTAGCATAAAATCTTGCATTAGTTTTACTTTTTTCCCCCTCCCTTTTTGGAGGTGAGTTGTTTGCTTCCAACTACTAGGCTCAAGCAATCTCTTTAACTCACTCTTCCCCGTATCTGGAACTATAGGCTGGTACTCCCATACCCAAAGAGCCTGCCTGCCTGCCTGCCTGCCTGCCTGCCTGCCTGCCTGCCTGCCTGCCTGCCTGCCTGCCTGCCTGCCTTCCTTCCTTCCTTCCTTCCTTCCTTCCTTCCTTCCCTCCTTCCTTCCTTCCTTCTTTCCTTCCTTCCTTCCCCCCTCTTTCTCTTTTGATGGTCCAGTCTTTAGAATTAATTTCTAAAAATAAACTGGTAGATGACTCTTTCCAATTCGAAAAATAAGGGTGTTTTGCAAACTTTTGATACACATGTGGGTGTGTGCAAGCATGCACATGCACGTGTGTGTTGTATGTGTGTGTGTGTATGAAGTGTCACAAATTCTGGGATTATAGGTATGAGTTTTCTTTCCTGACTGAAAAATAATCTGTTCAAAGTAGGTTTTAATTTTTCCATTGTATTTTGATCATAGGTGAAGTGTTTGTTTTAAATGATGGTGGAGAAGTTGATTTGGACCTGGGAAATTATGAAAGATTCTTGGACATTAATCTTTATAAGGACAACAACATCACCACTGGGAAGATATATCAGCATGTGATTAATAAGGAGAGGCGTGGTGATTTCCTGGGGGAGACTGTTCAAGGTATTTTACTATATAACATTATGGACCCTGTGTGCTAAGCATCATTCAGAGGAAACTTTGTTTTTAACAGAAATGAGAAGGTTGTGGGCCCTGAAATCTCAGCTTTCTTTTCTTTTTTACTCAGAAATGTAAAGAGGGCCCCTTGCCAATGTTCCTGAATATACTTTTTAGCAGTTTTTATTACTAGATAATATTTTTAATTTTAATTTTCTTTTTTGAGACAGGGTCTCATGGAGCCCAGGCTGGCCTTTAAGTTACTGTGTAGCCAGGGATGACCTTGAATGTGATGATCGTCCAGCCTCCACCTCCTTAAGTGCTGGAGGCATGTACTACTACAGCAGCTTATGTGGTGTTTTGGATTAGATCCAGTGTTTTGTGCAGGCTAGGCAAGAACCCTAGCTGAGCTATACCCCCAGGTCCTGATTTTATTTATTTTTGTTGATTTTGAGACAGAGTCTCACTGTGTAGATCTGGCTTGCCTGGAACTAGCTCTGTAGACCAGGCTGGCTTTGAACTCATAGAGATTCGCCTGCCTCTGTGTATTAGTCACTTTTCTTTCTTTATTCATTTTATTTTTTAAATAAAGTAGATTTTTCCTGATCAAATGGAGAATTTCTAAAAAAAATATTTATTTTTATTTTATCTGTTAGTGTTTTGCCTGCATGTGTCTCTGTGTGAAGGTGTTAGAACCTCTGGAGCTAGAGTTACCGATAGTGATGAGCTGCTTTGTGGGTGCTGGGAATTGAACTCAGGTCCTCTGGAAGAAGAGCTGGTGCTTTTAACTGCTTAGTCATCTCTCCAGCCCCATTAGTCACTTTTCTATTGCTGTGATAAAAACATGATCAAGGCACCTTATTGAATAGTACATTTGGGCTTATGGTTCCAGAGTCCATTGCCATCACATGTGATGGGGGACACAAAGCAGTAGGTAGGCATGGCTGCTGGAGTAGCAAACTGAGAGCTCACACCCTGAACAACAATCAAGAAGCACAGAGAGCATACTGGAAATGGTATGAGGCTTTTAAACTCACAAAGCCCACCTCCAGTGACATGCTTCCCCCACTTCTTAGGTACCACCAACTAGGGACCATGTATTCAAATGTCTAAGACTGCGAGGAACATTCAAATCAGCCCACAGTGTTTTTCTGCTGGGATTAAAGGTGTATGCCACTACCACCCAGCTTTTTTTTAAAAAAAATATTTACTTATTTATTTATTATGTATACAATATTCTGTCTGTGTGTATGCCTGCAGGCCAGAAGAGTGCACCAGATCTCATTACAGATGGTTGTGAGCCACCATGTGGTTGCTGGGAATTGAACTCAGGACCTTTGGAAGAGAGGCAATGCTCTTAACCTCTGAGCCATCTCTCCAGCCCCCTACCACCCAGCTTTTGTTTTTGTTTTTTGAGTCAGAGTTTCTTTGTGTAGCCCTGGCTGTCCTGGAACTTGTTCTGTAGACCAGGCTGACCCTGAACTCACCGAGATCTGCCTGCCTCTGCCTCCCAAGTGCTGGGATTAAAGATGTGTGCCACCACCACATGGCTTTTTTTTTTTTTTAAAGACTGGTCTGGAATTTACTTTGAATGGCTTTAAACTCATGGCAATCATTTTGCCCCAGTCTCCTGAGTGCTGGCTTATACCTGGCCTTGTTGCTATTATTTTATTATATTTATTTTTATTCTGTAGGTATAGGTCTATACGTCTTTGTGGATTCTTGCATGCCATAGTGCACATGTGGAACTCAGAGGACAAGTGCAGGACTTAGTTCTCTTGTTCCACTGTGTGGGGTCTGGGACTGGAACTCTGGTCTTCAGGCTTAGTGGCAATCACCCTTACTCACAGAGTCATCTCGTCAATAATTATTATTGTTTTAAACTATTCAGTTCATGAACTGTGTGCACACTTGTAATCCCAGCATTTGAAAGGCAGAGACAGGAAAAGTTCAAAGTCGTCTTTACCTACAAAGCAGATTTTAGGCCAGCCTGAGCTATATGAGCCATTGCCTCAAAAAGAAAATCATTGGGAGCTGGAGAGGTTGCTCAGGAATTAAGAGTACTGCTTGCAGAGCACCCTAGTTTAGTTTGCAGCACCCACAGGGTGGATAATAACTGTGTCTATCCCCAGTTCCAGGGGATCCAGTGTCCTCCTCTATCCTCCAAAGGCACCAGGCATGACGGACATACATATATGCAGGAAAAACAGTCATACACATAAAAGAAGTAAAATTTAAAAAAGGAAGAAAACAATTCAATTTATGGTATTTTTGGCTGGGCATAGTGGTGCAGAACTTGCCACACGTTTTTGAGTACAGCCTGGTCTACATAGCAAATTTCAGGCCACTCATGACTACACAGGGAGACCTTGTTTCAAAAACAAATCAAAACAAAATAAAAAAACAAGTTTATTTTATGGTAATTTATTGCAGAAGCCATAGAAAGCAAAAATAATATCCAATTGGATTTTGACATCTCTGTGCTGGATCCCTGGTGAATGGGTGGATTTTATCTACACCCTTGAAGTAGACCGCTCCATTGGCTGCTATTACCTCCAGGGTACTTAGGTCCCACTCCCGTATAGCTGTATATCCTGTGGATATTCGCACCTGACTTAGCCTTCCTTACCCAGTCTCAGATGGCGTGATAGGTGGTTCCTAAGTTTTTTTTTTTAAAGATTTATTTGTTTGTGTGTGTGTGTGTGTGTGTGTGTGTGTGTGTGTGTGTACATGTATGCCATGTGTGTGTGAGTGCCCTTGAAAGCCAGAAGAGGGTGTTGGATTCCCTGGAGCTAGAGTTACAGGCAGTTATAAGCCTCCAGATGTTGGTGCTAGGAAGCGAACTCAGGTTCTCTGGGAAAGAAGCAAGTACAACTGCTGAGCCACCTCTCCAGACTAGGGTTTTCTTGTCTGCATCAGCGATCTTGTTCTCTGGTCTACTTCAAGAGCAAAGGTCTATCATGGGAATGAGTGGCCTTAAATTCTTCAGTCCATCCTGGTTCCAGTGGTGGAGACAATGACATAAGATCTCCAGCTGGTCTCATTTGCCTGGTGGCTTTCACACCATTTGGGAAGTCCATATACTTCCTTTCTCATGAGCATGAAGTAACCTGCTGTGTTGTTTTTTTCCCCTTTTTCTGCAGTTGTCCCCCATATTACTGATGCTATCCAGGAGTGGGTCATGAATCAAGCCAAGGTGTCCGTGGATAGTAATAAGGAAGATCCCCAGATATGCGTTATTGAGGCAAGCATGGAACTTTTCTTCATAAGCTACTGCCTTGCTGGGTCTTTAAGCATCCAGTTTTCATTCACTCTCCTCTCCTTGGTATGGTAAATTAGGCTGGGGGTGGGGTTCCAGCAGGGAACAACAGAGATGGTCACGAGTCAGTTATTAAACAGATAATCACACATCCTCTGGGGGTGAGTACGCAGTGGTCTGTGTGTGCAGACAGGTGAGTAATGTAGTAAGTGTTGGGGTTGGAGCCTGGAATGGCTAGTTTCTTCTGTCCCTGAGGAGCCTATAGACCCACTATTCATACAAATGAACTGTATGATTTTGTTTATTTGACAACAGGGTCTTAGGTAACCCAGGTTGGCCTTGAACCTGATATATAGCCAATAAAGCCTTTGAACTCCTGATCTTCTGCCAAGTGCTAAGATTCCAGGCATGTACCATTCCTCCTGGTTTATGCCATGCTGGGGATGGGATCCAGGATTTCATGTGTGCTAGGCATGTATCCTACCAACTGAGCTACATTCCTATCCCAGCATGTATTTTAATTTCTAGTATTGGAGAAGTATTTGCAGAGTGCTGTGGAAAGTAGAGATTGGGTTGGAAAAGTCAGATGGTGAAGGTGGGAGGTGATGTCAACCACTCAAGAGCAGCATTTGAATTTAGCACTTGTTGACTGCCTTGACTTTTCTTCCATTCCTTTATTGTCTATAGAATGTAGTATGTTATGCAGACTGTTTTCTACCTGGGCGTTCCTTCCTTTCTGATTTTTTTTAGAACTCTTTTTTTTAAAGATTTATTTGTTTATTTATTGTGTATGCAACATTCTGCCTCCATGTGTGCCTGCAGGCCAGAAGAGGGCACCAGATCTCATTACAGATGGCTGTGAGCCACCATGTGGTTGCTGGGAATTGATCTCAAGATCTCTAGAAGAGCAGCAGTCAGTGCTCTTAACCCCTGAGCCACCTCCGCAGCCCCCTCCTTCCTGATTTATATCAAGGAAGTACTGCCTCTTAAAAATGAAAATGCATGCGGGTGTGTGTGTGTGTGTGTGTGTGTGTGTGTCCCCTAGTGCTCATGTGGATGTCAGAGGACAACCTTGAGTGTTGGTCCTCGGCTTCCACATCCACCTTGTTTGAGACAGGGTCTCTACTACTCACTCCTTTGCATACCAGGCTAGCTGGCTTATGAGCTTCTGATGATCCTCCTGCCTCCACATCCCACATCTTGGCAGGCCTACATTATAATTACAGACACTTGTGCTACTATAGCTGGTTTTCATGTGGGTTCTGGGGGTCTGAACTCAGGTTGTCAAGACTTACACAGTAAGTACTTCACCACTGAGCCATCTCCTTAGCCCCAGTGTTTCCTTTTTAAAAAATATTTATAAAAGACAGTCTCATATACCCCTGGCCTTAAACTCCACTATGTAGCCTAGAATGACCATGAATTTCTGAGCCTTCTGCCTCTACCTTCCAAGTGCTGAGATTACAAGCATGCATCACTATATCCAGTTTTATGTGGTACTGGGGTTGGATTCAGAGCTTCGGACTCTATGCCGTTCTAAGTTTTTTGTTATTATTTTATGAATCGGTGAGTTTATCAATCCTGCTTAGAAAGCAGAGGTGAGTTAAAATAGAAGCCAGGCATGGTGATCCACACCTTTAATCCCAGCACTCAGGAGACAGAGGCTGGCAGATTTCTGTGAGGTCGAGGCCAGCATGGTCTATGTAGAGAGTTTCAGGCCAGTCAGGGCTATATGGTAGGACCCTGTCTAAAAAAGCAATAGCAACAAAAATTACAGGTGAGGGACTACTTAAAGAAGGCTGGATAACACCAAAACAGCATAAATTTCCCACCTAGTTATGGAAAATGACCTCTTGGAAGCTGCATCATGGAGTCCTCCCTTGCAGCTAACTTTTCACTTCTTTGTTTTTGTCCAAGACCATATATAGTACCAAGTGCTAGTGTATGTTTTTTTTAAACATTTATACTTGTGATCAAGTTTTTGTTTGTGTTTGACTTTTTTGAGACAAGGTTTCACTCTATAGTCCAGGCTAACCTGGGATTAATTATGTAGCCTGTGCTGGCCTATAACTCAGAGCAGTCCTTGTGCCTCAGCTTCCCAAGTGCTAGAATTATAGTAGTACGTCACTACTTCTGACCTTGTAATATTTTAACTTATAAGTTGAATATAATAAAAGATTGAGAATAATAAAATAGAATAACTATAGCAATAAATTATAATGCAAGTTATTTAAAACTTATGGATTATCAATTTTGGAGTTTTAAGTTTAATAAATACAAACTTACAATAAGAAAATATTATCTCAAGGGTTCTGAACACAGTGATAATAGGAATTTCCAGATGGGTTAAGAGGATGCAGTGCCACAATAGACCACATGAGGGCAGGAACAGATAAGATTTAGAGTCTTGGTCCTTTTCCTTATATTCCAGTGATAATTTATAGGATCCCCTTCAAAAAGCACAAGATGAAGCTGAGTTTGGGGTCCTGCAATCCAGCACTCCAGAGACTGGGGAAGGAGTTTGAAGCTAGCCTGGGCTACATATGGAGCTCCAATCCAGTCTGAGCTACAGAGTCAGACTCTGTCCCAAAAAACTACCTCCCCCGCAAAAACAAAAAACAAAAAAACTACTCACATTAATAAGCCAGGTGGTGGTGGTACAGGCCTTTAATCCTAGTACTCAGGAAGCAGAGGCAGGTGGATCTCTGTGAGTTCGAGGCCAGATTGATCTACAGAGTTAGTACTGTGACATCCAGGGCAACACAAAGAAACGCTGTCTCAAAAACAAAACAAAACGAAAAACACACTAACAAACAACAAAATAAAACCAGAAGGGGGCTAAGGGCATATAGCTCAGCAGTGGAGCACTTGCTTAACATATGTGAGACCTGGATTATGTCCCAGCAACACAAAAAAAACAAAGGACAAAATCCTCTAAGACATTCCCATATGGTTTGGTTTAAGTACAGACTTTTCTTTCTTTCTTTTTGTTTCCAGACAGGAACATGCAATGTAGCCTTGGCTAGCCTGGAACTGGTATGCTGACCTTGAACTCACAGAGATCCACCTGCCTCACCAACTTCTATCCTGAGCCCTGAGATTGAAGGTGATAGTTACCGTGCCTGGTCTGTCTTTTAAATTATACTTATTTTTTGTGTGCATCTGTGCTATATGTATGTACATATGTGCATACACGTGTGTGCATATGCATTCAAATACCTGTGGAAGCCGGGGTCAAGACTGGTTATCTTCCTCAGTAGCCCATTACCTTATTGTTTGAGACAAGGTCTCACGGACCTGTAGCTCAATGATTTGGCTAGACTGGCTGGCCAAATATGCCTGTCTCTGTTCCCACCTTCTGGGGTGAGGTCACAGACATGCACTGTGCTGGGGTTACAGACACTACTGTGCACAGCTTTTTACATTTGCTGTGAATCCTAACTCGTGTCCTCATGCTTGCCTGGCAGTCAGTATTGACTGAGCCACTGTCCCTGTTTGTATTTGAGACAGTGTTTCTCCAAGTATTTCAAGATAACCTTGACTTTAGTATGTAATCCAGGTTGGCCTTGAATTTGCAGCAATATTTCAACTTCAATCAGCCTCCTAAGCACTGATGAGATTACACCTCATGCCTTCTTCCTCCTACTGCTGCCATCATGGCCACCTTTTCTTTTCCTCCCCTCTCTCTCCCTCCCTCCCTCCCTCCCTCTGGGGACAGAAGGGAGCAGTCCCTAGGACTGGAGTTGTAGATGTTTGTGAGCTGAAGTGTGGATGCTGGGAGTTGAACCCATGCCCTTTGGAAGAGCAGCCAGTGCTTTTAATCACTGAGCCATCTCCCCAGCCCTCTTTCTCTTTCTCTTTTCTTTTGAAACTGATTTTCACTGTAACCCAAGATGACGCAGAAATCACTATTTAGCCCAGGCAGGCCTCAAACTAAAGACAATCCTTCTGCCTCTGCTTCTTTTTGTCACCAGGCCTGGATTTTTTTGAGATAGGATATATGTACCCTAGGCTAGTCTTGAACTTGTGATACTCCTTCCTCAGTTTCCCCAGTGCTGGGATTACAGATGTGTGTGTGTTTTTTTTTTTTTACCAGACCAGGCTTTTTTTTATTAATAGTTTTATTGAAGTTTAATATCACAAAACTTCATTCATTCCAGCTGTATAATTTAATGATTTTAAGCACTTATAGACTTCTGTTCTTGTGAAAAACGTATTAAACTTCGATTCTTATCCTCAGACTATTAAAATTATGTCTAAAGCTGGGGATAGTGACTCACACATTTAAAACCAACTCTCGGGTGGCAGAGGCAAGCAGATCTCCAAGTTACAGGCCAGTCTGGTTTATAGAGAAAAGAGCTTCAGGACAACCAGAGCTACCCAGAGAAACCCTGTCTCAGAAAATAAAAACTAAACAAAATACAACAAAATTATTTCTAAACCAAGTGTGGTGATTCATGGTACATGATCCAGGCCAGCCTGGGCTATCTATGTAGAAGTCCAGGCCACCCTGGGCTACAGTATGAAACTCTTCCAAAAGTAATTAGTTACTTAATTTATCTGGTCGTTGTGGTATATGCCTTTAATTCCAGCACTGGGGAGGCAGAGGTAGGCAGATCTCTGACTTCAGAGCCATCCTGGTCTATATATAGGGAGTTCCAGGTCAGCCAGGACTATACGGTCAGACTCTGTCTCTAAAGAAAAGTTACTTAAGAAAGCAAGAAAATTCCATTGGTTTGTGTGCTGTGGAAGATGTTTGGTCACTTGTGCCTTATTTTTGTCTTCCACCCTCAGCTGGGAGGCACTGTTGGAGACATTGAAGGAATGGCATTTGTGGAAGCATTCCGACAATTCCAGTTCAAAGCCAAAAAGGAAAATTTCTGTAATATTCATGTCAGCCTTGTACCACAGGTGGGTTTTTCTACATAAGTATGCGGATAGTAACTTGGATCAGTTTTGCACTGATATTTTATGTGACCTACGTTTGAAATTCAAGAGCCATAAATTTGTCCAGTTGTTCTGATGGGAACTCATTTCTTTTTAGCCCTGTGCTACTGGAGAACAAAAAACCAAACCCACACAAAACAGTGTCCGTTCGCTGAGGGGGTTGGGCTTGTCTCCAGATCTGGTGAGTTAAGTACAGTGGGTAAGTTTGTCGCTAAGGTCTTTTGGAGTAGGACCTCCATGTCACAGGCTATAACAGCCACTAACAGTGGTTTATTTCCTTTTTGGGTGTTGGTGCTGGGGATGGAACCTAGAGCACACACTAAGCATGTGCTTTACCTTTAAACTACACCCCAGTCCCTTCATCTTTAACTTAACATCTGAGTCATTTGTCCCTCTCAAATGGTTCTTATGACTATAAACCGTTTTGTGTCTGGCATCCAGGAAAATAATATTTCTTTATCCTTAATTTGGTTCCATTTATAGCAGACAAGATACAATGCTCTGCCATTTGTAAGGTTCCTGGCTCCTTCAGAGTGAATGTCAAACCTTGGGATTTTCCTGTGTCCCTTCAACGACTGGCTATCTTTGCTCTGAGCTTTAGTCCAAGAGGCATTCGTGTGTTCCTATATCAGATTATCCAGTTACAGCCAGCATCTTGTGTGCGTGTGTGGGAGGAGGGTGAATTAGGAGTCCACAAAGCTGCTGCCTTCTTTTTGTTTTTTTTCAGAACAGTATTTTTCTGTGTAAGAGCTCTGGCTGTCCTGGAACTTGATTTGCAGACCAGACTGACCTCGAACTCACAGAAATCCTGCTGTCTCTGCCTCCTGAGTGCTGGGATTAAAGATGTGTACCACTATTGCCTGGCACAGCTGCCTATTTTTATAAATAAAAATTTATGGACACACAGTTGTTTACTTACATATAGTCTATGTAAATAAATAGTCTGTGTTTTGGCACAGTCTAAAGCTGGACCCTGAGTGCCTTACCCGGAAAGCTAAAATGTTTCCTGTGGGACCCTTTAGTGAAAGTTTGTTAACTTCTGATCTACCTCCTCTTCTAGTTCATGGGACAGCCCTGTAGAGCTTTTAACTCTTCACCAGAGACATTTTGATATTTTGAGTTCTTCCTGGTAGATTTCTGTTGAACTTAGTGAGACATGCTTATGCTAGTGGCCAGACCAATTTCTCATGCTACAGAGGAATGCCCAAAGTGAATAAGTGCATACTTGGTCTAGTCTTGTAAAAAAAAAAAAAGAATAAAAGGATTTTCTGACAATGAATTGGGTAATTTGATCACCCCTGTTTTCATTTATTGATCCATGCATAACTGGCTTTCACAGATTGTCTGCCGTAGTTCAAAACCTATTGAGATGTCTGTGAAGGAGAAGATTTCTATGTTTTGTCATGTGAGCCCTGAGCAGGTTGGTGCTTAATGTTTTTTATATTTAAATTTGTGTGTGTGTGCGTGCATGTGTGTGTGAGCGCACCCATGTGTGCGCTTCTGCCATGATCTATGTGTAGAGATCAGAGGACAGTTTTGTGGATGGGATTCATTCTCTTCTACCTTTAGGTTGGTTTTCCCTATCAAAATCAAGTTGTGAGGATATGTGACAAGTACTTTTACTTGTTGAGCCACAGGTCTCACGTAGCCCAGGCTGACCTTGAATTCCTGATTCGCCAACATCCCACGTGCTGAGAACATAGTCATGAGCCACCACTTTAAGCTCAGGGTGGGCATTTTAGCTCAGTGAAGCTTCTAGTAAGAGAACTGTGTGCTGTTTCTTTAGCATTTTTTTTATCCTGTGTTTTGACAGGATACTTACTGCTTCGTTCAGTTTTCTTCTGTACCTTTTATAGCTTAACACACCTTAAACCACGCAAGTATACTGACATTCATGCTGTGTTTTATGATAATGTAGGTGGCCCAGCTGGTTTCATTACTCCATAAATTACCATAATTTGGGCTCTAGCCTTTTGTTCTGTAGGACTTTCAGCCTTGGTATTCTGACATTTAGATGATCTTTTTCTTTCTAGCTCTGGTTCCCAATAAGCCTATGGTATGAGGGGTTGCACTTGGCTACAGGTTATAAGGAGTGGTGTGAAAAAAGAGTGATGTGAATGGAGCTCAGGAACAGGGTGAGGCTTGCTAGGAACCATTCATGTGAGCTCTAGGTTCTCTCGACAGCTGCTTGGTGGGGTATTTGTGTTTGGGGAGTAGGCCGGTAGAGAGTCCTCTGCTTTAGGTTTCCAAGCCTGAACTGCTTTTAAAAGAAGGGACTTCTCTCTCTCTGCGTATGTGTGTTCTGGGCTACTTTGTTTCGGTTCTGTTGTTTTGTGTCCCCTTCCTCTTGGTAGACAGTGCTTTGCTTGTGGATTAAGCAAATACAACCTGGTTTCCAGAATAGAAGAAGATAGAAGATTTTGCATTGGACTATTGAGAGCTCAGAGAAAGAGGGTAGAGTTCCAACTGTGTCTGTTGTGGAGTCTAACACCTGTAGCATTGATCCAAGTCTCTTTTATTTCTCAAATTTATCTTTATTGTTTTAAGCTTATATGTATGTGTGTGGGCTCGTATAAGTGAGTACACATGCCCAAAGAGGTTGTGGGTGTCAGATCCTCCTGGAGCTGGAGTACAGGTGGTTTTGAGCCATCTAATGTGTATGATGTAGATGCTGGGAATCTAACTCATATCCCCTGCAAGAGCTATAAGTACTCTTGACCACTGAGCTATCTCTTCATCCCTAGTGGTCCAGTTTTGTTCTTCTCTTCTCTTCTCTTCTCTTCTCTTCTCTTCTCTTCTCTTCTTTTCTTTTCTTCCTTTCTTTCTTTTTGTTTTTTTGAGACAGGGTTTCCCAGAAGCTATGGAGCCTGCCCTGGCACTCGATCTGTAGACCAGGCTGACCTCAAACTCACAGAGATACCCATGATTCTACTTCCTGAGTGCTGCGTTTATAAAGGCATGTGCCACCACTCCCGGTCAAACAAGGCAATTCTTATAAGATAAAGCATTTAAATTACGGGCTTCCTTAGAGTTTTAAAGGCTTAGTCTATTATCATCATGTTGGGGAGCATGGTAGCATACAGGCAGGCACTGGAGCAATAGCTGAGAACTACATCATCCATAGGCAGAGAGAGAGAGAAACAGAAACAGACTGGACTTGGCATGGGCTTTTAAAATTTCAAAGTCCACCCTCAGTGACTCCAACAAGGCTACACCTACTCCACTCCAACATGGCCACTCCTCCTCATCCTTATAATCCGTTCAAACAGTTCCATTCCCTGGTAACTATGTTTTCAAATATATAAGCCTATGAGGACTGTTCTTATTCAAACTACCACAGTGAAGGTTGTGAGCTACCTTGTGGGTGATGAGAGTCAAACCTAGGTCCTCTGAAGGAGCAGCAAATACTTTTAGGTGTTTAGCCATCTCTCTAGCCCAAATTCATTCATTTCTCTTTTTTTGTCTTTTTTTTTACCCTTTGGAGCTGAGAAATAAACCCAGAGCCTTGTGCTTACTAGGCAATTGCACTACCACTGAGCTAAACTCCCAACCTCTTTCTTTTCTTTTCTTTCTTCTTTTTTTTTAAAAAAGAAAAACCTTGTAACATTTATTTATTGCTTGTGTATGTTTATTCCTGAGTGTGGAGGTCAGAAGGCAATCCTGGGGAGCCAGTTCTCCTACCATGTCCATTCCGGGACTGGAACACAGGTTATCAGATTGGTGCCCTGCTGGGTCATCTCACCAGCTCTCAGTTCTTTCTTTTTTTAATTGTTCTTTTTTATGGAGTCTAGGCTAACTTTGAACTGTCTGTGTAGCTGAGTATGATCTTGAACGTCTGTCCTTCCTGTCCTTACTTCTCAAGTGTTAGGATCACTGGTGTGTGCCACCATGCCTGGTTTTATGTGGTGCTGCTGGTAGTCAAACCCAAGGTCCTCATGTATACTAAGCAGGCAGTCTGCCAAATGAGCTATGTATCTAGCTGACTTGGTTTCCCTTCTGTTCCTGTGATAAAATACCCAGCTTAGGGGGAAAGAGTTTTTTTTTTATTTTTTTAACTTATGGTTCTTAGTTACATTATAGTCTTCTGGGAGGTTAAGGCTGAAGGAATTTGAAGCAGCTAGTCACATCACATTCACACTCAAGAACACAGAGAAATGAGGTAATACATATACATGCCTACTGCTTAGCTCACTTTCTCTTCTTTTATATAGTCTAGGGCCAAAATCCAGAGAATAGTGCCACCCAGTTTTAGGCTGGATATTTTTATGTCAGTTCAGGAAATTAAGAAATTCCAAGCCAGATGTGGTGGCATATGTCTTTAATCTCATCACTCAGTAGGCAGAGGCAGGTGGGTCTCTGTGAATTCGGGATCGGCCCTGGTCTACATAGTGATTTCAAAGCTAGCCAGGGCTGCATAGTGAGACCTTTGTCTTAAAAAAAACTGACAGACATGCTCAAAGGCCAGTTTGGTTTAGACAATTACCATTTGAAACTCTTCTCCCCAGGTGAATGTAGATTGTATCAAGTTGACAGTTAAAACTAAACATCATGGCTCCCTCCCTCTCTTTTGCTCTCCTTCCCTCCCTTCCTTTCTGAAGTTGTATTTTGCTGTACAGCTGAGGCTGGTCTTGAATTTATGGTCCTCTTGCCTCATTTCCTGGGATGCTGGAATTAGGCCTGTTCTCCAACACGTAGCTTTCTTGATTTTCTTATTTCACTATAAACTGTTTCTTGAGTTTTGTCTTATTCCAGTGGTGTATTAAAAAAGATGTTTTATTATCATTGATCAGGTTGTCTGTATCCATGATGTTTCTTCCATCTACCGAGTGCCTCTTCTTTTGGAGGAGCAAGGTGTGGTTAAATATTTTAAAGAGAGGTTGGACCTGCCCATCAGTGACTGTTCAAGTAATTTGCTTTACAAGTGGAAAGCCATGACTGACAGGTATGTGAGATGAATTATTTCTGTATAATTTTTTTTAACATAGATAGAACTTGTAAAAAAAACCTTCTCCCAATTCTTTCCAGACTTTCTCAGTCTTTATAAATGCAAGGAAATTAGGACTGCAGGATTACAGATAAACATTCTACAGCCTCTGGCTTTATGTGGGATTGGACTGAGTTCTCATGCTTTTGTGGCAAGTTCTCTACTAACTGAGCTATCACCTTGGCCTCTTTATGCAATTTTTAATAATTCTTGGGCTTGTAGGTGGAAGTAAAACCTACTTTAAAGGGCCAGTCTGTCCTATTTACATTTTTGTATGTGTATGTTCTGTGTGGATATATCTAAATTTGTTGTTAGAGTATTTCTCTGTGTTCTTTGAAGATTTTTGGAGCCATTGTTTTTGCTGTACTTAAACACAAATGAGTTAAATGGATTTGGATTCCCAATATATATATAGACCAGGCTGGCCTTGAACTCATAGAGATCTGCCTCTCTCTGCCTTCTATGTGCTGGGATTAAAGGTATGTGTCACCACTGTCCGGCTCAAAGGAATATTTTTAATTCTGGACATTTGATTAATATGTTAATTTACTTTTTATTTATTCTACCTTTTTCTTTTTTTTTCAGTCCTGGGGCCAGAACTTGCGCATGTTAGGCAAGTGCTCTTTGCTGAGCCGTATCCCTAGCCTAGTTCATAGTTGTAAGTGTTGCAGAGTTTTTGTTTTATTTAAGATTTGGCTAACATTTCCTAAAGAAGATCCTTTAAATGGGAAGTTTGACTCTACATTTAGCCCTCCATCTGGAAGTGATTTGTTTGTTTGGTTTTGGGATCGTCTCCTGCAGCCCATACTGGCCTTGAACTTCTACTCCACCTCCAGATTGCTGAGGTTGTATATAGGTGTCCACCACCATTCACAGTGCCCATCCAGTACTTACATATCTTAAAAGAAATACTTATTTAAAAATCACATTCATTTATTTTGTGCACATGCACACTTACTCAGCAGTTAAAGGACAACTTTACAGGAGCTGATACTCTTTTCTTCCTCCAGATCCTTAACTGTATCAGCAAAGACAAGACCTTTTTTTTTAAAGATTTATTTATTTATTATGTATACAACATTCTGTCTCCGTATATGCCTGCAGGCCAGAAGAGGGCACCAGATCTCATTACAGATGGTTGTGAGCCACCATGTGGTTGCTGGGAATTGAACTCAGGACCTCTGGAAGAGCAGCCAGTGCTCTTAACCTCTGAGCCATCTCTCCAGCCTGACAAGACCATTTTTTATAAGTTCTTTTTTTATTGTTTCTTCCCAAGACAGTGTTCCTCTTTGTAGCCCTGACTGTCCTGGAACTTGTTCTATAGACCAGGGTAGACTCAAATTCGTAGGTCTACCTGCCACTGTCTTCTGAGTGCTGGGATTAAAAGTGTGTGCCTCTACACTCAGTTTATAAGATTCTTAGGAATTTAAGGGCATGTGCCTTCATGACCAGAGAATTTTTTTCCCTCCCTCTAAGGACTGAACCCAGGGCTTCAAGCATACAAGCCTTAATGTATGAGTTACATCTCCAGCCTAGTGAAGACCCATTCAGTTCACCTCAGTCTTCAAAGTAAATGGAGATCACAGTACCTATATCATTTTGGATTGTTGGTTTATTGCTAACTGCAGTGTGTAATGGACAACCCCGCTGTGGTCTGTAGAACATGTAAGGAGTCAGTGAGAAGGCAGAGCAGTTGCTCTGATGATGGAGGTTCACTGCCACTCAGACACTAGCAGTCCTGGTTAAAGTGGATATGGTCCTTTCCTGGGACCCCAGGCTGAAATGAGATACCCTTTCCCACTTTGGGACCTGCCCATGATGGGTGGGCCTGTAAAGTAGATTCTGCTTCCCATTTCCTAGGAGCTCACAGTAATAGCAGAAGCCTGCCTCACACGTCTGTGATAGCTGTGTTAATCATGTGAGGTGGACCTTTGGTTGATCTTGGAAAGGAAAATGAATATAAGGGATAGACTTAGTACATCAGCCAGCACAGCAGGCCCCACCCTGGGTGGGGCGTTTGACTCGTGCGCTCACCTGTCCCATCTATTACCATGTGATTTCTGTCAAGGAAGTTTGGACATGAGTGAATAGATGGAGGAGTCTGTAATTGTCTTTAGTGTGCTTTCTTTTGGGTCAGAGCCATGTCCTTCAGCTTTGTGTGGAGAAAAAGTGAGACCCAGCCAACTCTTTTGCATACTGGCAGCTGCTAAGTAGGTAGACCACACCTTAGGACAAAATATCTACTTCTGGTGACATCTCTTATATTTGGCTTGAGATTAACTTGCTTTCTGTTATTAGGAATTCATCATCATCATCATCATTATAATCATTATCAACATCATCGTTTTGTAATACTGGGGGATGAACCCAGGGCCTAATGCATGCTAGGCAAGTGCTTTACCACTTCTGGCCATACAGAGCTGTGAATTCTACAGAGCAAGATAAAACTAAATAGCATTAAAGGCTTGATAATGTTGGAGGAGAGTCCGCTTGTTTGGTTCCCAGCCACCCGGCTAGCTTAGACCCAAAATAATCACACAGAAACTGTATTATATAAAACACTGCTTGGCCTGTTAGCTCTAACTTCTTATTGGCTAACACTTACATATTAATTCAACCTATTTTTATTAATCTGGTATCACCACATGGCAGTGGCTTACCGGCAATGTTTCAGCATGTCTAACTGACTCTGGCTGTGGCTCCATTGCATCTCTCTGACTCTGCCCTTCTTCCTCCCAGCATTCAGCCTAGCTTTCCCTGCCTACCTAAGTTCTGCCTTGCTATAGGTCCAAAGCAGTTTCTTTGTTCATTAATGGTAATCACAGCACACAGAGGGGACTCCCGCACCATGACAACTTTCCCTCAGTTTATTTGTTAATCTTCCTTGGACGTCTTACCTTTCCTGTTACTTTTAGTCTCTTAGTTTTTTCCTCCACCCAGCTTAGTTTTTGTTTTTGTGTTTTTAATTTATTTTATCTGTAAGTTTTTGTGGAAGTGTGTCACTGTGTATATCTGACTAGCTTGGAAGTCAAGATGTAGACCAGAGATGCCTCAGACTTGTAGTGATCTCTGCCTGCCTTGGCCTCCTGTGTGCTGCCACATCTGGCTTATTTTTTATTTTCAAAGTATGATCTCATGTATCCCAGGCTGTCCTTGAACTCATTGTGAGGCTGAGGATGATCTTGAACTTCTGATCCTTATGTTTTCACTTCTTGAGTGCTGGGATTGATAACAGCTGTGTTATCATCATGCCCATTTCTACATGGTGCTGAGGATCATATAGCCAAAGACTTCTAGCATGCTAGGCAAACACTCTACCAACTGAGCCACATCCTGGACCCCAGCTTACTTTTGTTTTGCATTTATCTATGCAGTTTTGCACACGTGTGTGTGTGTGTGTGTGTGTGTGTGTGTGTGTGTGTGTGTAAGGTGTTGTAAAAAGGAGCAGCAGGCTGCGTTCCCGCCAGGATCCTGGCTCCCACACGGCTAACTTTACACCCGAAATAACTATGTGGAAACTGTATTCTTTTAAACACTGCCTGGCCCATTGTCTGTAGCATCTTATTGGCTAACTCTCTCATATTGATTCAACCCATTTCTAATAATCTGTGTGCCACCATGAGGTCGTGGCTTACTGGGAAAGATTCAGCATGTCTGACCTGGCAGCTTTGTGGCAGCGGCTCTCTGACTCTGCCTGACTTTGCTTCTTTCTCCCAGAATTCAGTTCTGTCTTCCCTGTCTACCTATGTTCTGACCTATCAGGCCAGGCAGTATTCTTTATTAATTAACCAATGAAAGCAACAGATAGATAGAAGACTCTCCTACGTCAGTAAGGTACACATGCATATTTATGTATATGCATGTGACAAATGATATTTTTCTCAATATCTCCACTTTATATATTGAGACAGGTCTCTTGCTGATTCTGTAGCTTGCTGTTTCAGCTAATCTGGCTAGCTAGTTTGTCCTGGGGAACCCATTTCTACCATCCTTGCCCTGGGATTACAGCTGGGCCACTATACCCATCTTACATTTACATGAGTTCTCATGATTATTTTCTTTTTTTCTTTTTTTATTGTTTTTATTGTGCTATACGTTTTTCCCCACTCCCTTTTCTTCTTCCCCTCTCCCCTTCTACCCTCTCCTATGACCCCCACACTCCAAATTTACTCAGGAGATCTTGTATTTTTCATCTTCCTATGTAGTTCCATGTATGTTCTTCTTAGGATCCTATTTGCTGTTCTAGTTTCTCTGGGGTTGGGATTGTGGCCTGTAGGTTTTTTTTTTTTTTTGCTTTTTGTCTAAAGGCCACTAATGAGTGAACACATATTTGTCTTTCTGGGTCTGGGTTACCTCACTCAATGTGTTTTTTTTTCTAGATCTATTCATTTACCTGCAAATTTCAAAATGTCGTTATTCTTCACCGCTGAGTGGTACTCCATTGTGTAAATGTATCACATTTTCTTTATCTGTTCTTTGGTTGAGGAGCATATAGGTTGTTTCCAGGTTCTGGCTATTACAAATAATACTGCTGTGAACATAGTTGAGACATGTCCTTGTGGTATGATTGAGCATCTTTTGGGTATATGCCCAACAGTGGTATTGCTGGGTCTTGAGGTAGATTGTTTTCTAATTTTCTGAGAAATCGCCACACTGATTTCCAAAGTGGCTGTACAAGTTTGCACTCCCACCAGCAATGGAGGAGGGTTCCCCCTTACTCCACATCCTCTCCAGCATAAGCTTTCATTAATGTTTTTTAACTTAGCCATTCTGACGGGTGTAAGATGGTAGAGTTGTTTTGATTAGAATTTCTCTGATGAATAAGGATGTTGAGCATTTCCTTAAGTGCCTTTCGGCCATTTGAGATTCCAGTTCTTGAGAATTCTCTGTTTAGATCTCTACCCCATTTTTAAATTGGATTATTGGATATTTTAATATATAGTTTCTTGAGTTCTTTGTATATTTTGGAGATCAGCCCTCTGTCAGATATGTGGTTGATGAAGATTTTTTTTCCATTCTATAGGCTGCCGTTTTGTCTTGTTGACCGTGTTCTTTGCCTTACAGAAGCTTCTCAGTTTCAGGAGGTCCCATTTACTAATTGTTTCTCTCAGTGTCTTTGCTACTTGGGTTATATTCAGGAAGTGGCCTTCTGTGCTAATGTGTTCAAAGCTGCTTTCCATTTTCTCTTCTATGAGGTTCAGTGTGACTGGATTTGTGTTGAGGTCTTTGATCCATTTTGACTTGAGTTTTGTGCATGGGGCTAGATATGGATCCTTTTGCATTCTTCTACACGTTGACATCCAGTTATGCCAGCACCATTTGTTGAAGATGCTTTTCTTTTTTCTATTGTATAGTCTTAGCGTCTTTGTCTAAAAATCAGGTGTTCATAGTTGTGTGGATTAATATCAGAGTCTTTGATTCAATTCCATTGATCCATGTGTCTGTTTTTGTGACCATACCAAACTGTTTTCATTACTGTAGCTCTATAGTAGAGCTTGAAGTCAGGGACAGTGATGCCTCCAAAAGTTCCTTTCTTGTACAGGATATTTTGGCTATCCTGGTTTTTTTGTTTTTCCATATGAAGCTGAATATTTTTCTTTCAAGGTCTGTGAAGAATTGTGCTGGGATTTTGATGGGGATTGCATTGAATCTGTAGATTGCTTTTTGGTGAGATTGTCATTTTTCTTATGTTGATCCTACTTATACAAGAGCATGGCAATCTTTCCATTTTCTGATATCTTCTTTAGTTTTTTTCTTTAAAGACTTAAAGTTCTTGTCGTACAGGTCTTTCACTTGTTTGGTTAGAGTTACCCCAAGATATTTTATGTAGCTTGTGGCTATTGTGGAGGGTGATGTTTCTCTGGTTCCTTTCTCAGTCCGGTTATCATCAGTATATTGGAGGGCTACTGATTTTTTTTAAGTTAATCTTGTATCCTGCCACATTATTGAAGGTGTTTATCAGCTGAAGGAGTTCCCTGGTAGAATTTTTCTGGTCACTTATGTAAACTATCATGTCCTCTGCAAATAGTGAAGGTTTGACTTCTTCCTTTCCAATTTGTATCCCCTTGATCTCCTTTTGGTGTCTTATTGCTCTAGCTAGAGCTTTGATGCTATATTAAATATATATGGAGAGTGGACAACCTTGTCTTGTTCCTGATTTTAGTGGAATTACTTTGAATTTCTCTCCATTTAGTTTTATGTTGGCTGTCGGCTTGCTGTATATTGCCTTTATTATGTATAGTTATATTCCTTATGTCCCTGATCTCTCCAAGACCTTTATCATGAAGGGGTGTTGGATTTTGTCAAAGACTTTTTTTTTCATCTAATGAGATGATCATGTGTTTTTTTCTTTTATTTTGTTTATATGGTGGATAACATTGACAGATTTTCATATGTTGAACCATACCTGCATTCTGGGATGAAGATCATATTGATCATGGTAGATGATTTTTCTGATGTGTTTTTGATTTGGTTTGCCAGTATTTTATTGTATATTTTTGCATCAATGTTCATGAGGGAGATTGACTTGTAATTCTTTTTCTTAGTTGCATATTTGTGTGGTTTGGGTGCCAGGGTAACCGTCACCTTGTAAAAAGAGTTTGGCAGTGTCCCTTCTGTTTCTATTGTGTGGAACAATTTGAGGAGTATTGGTATAGGCTCATCTTTGAAATTCTGGTGGAATTCTGCACTGAAATCATCTGGCTCTGGGCTTTTTTTTGGTTGGGAGACTATTGATGACTGCTTTTATTTCTTTGGGCTTATAGATCTATTTCAATTGTTTATCTGATCTTGATTTAATTTTGGTATGTGGTTCCTATCCAGAAAATTGTTCATTTCCTTTGAATTTTCCAATTTTGGTTAGTACATGTTTTTGATGATATAGGTAGTTAGTGCTATGAACTTTCCTCTTAGCTCTGCTTTCAAAGTGTTCATAAATTTGGGTATGTTGTGTATTCATTTTTATTGAATTCTAGGAAGTCTTTAATTTCTTGCTATTTCTTTCTTGACCCAGGGGTGATTCAGCTGAGTGTTGTTCAATTTCCATCAGTTTGTGGGGTTTCTGCAATTAGTGTTGTTGTTGAACTCTAACTTTAAGCCATGGCAATCTTATAAGTTACAGGGGTTACTCCAATTTTTCTGTATCTGTTGAGGTTTGCTTTGTGACCAAGTATGTGACCAATTCTAGAGATGGTTCCGTGAGGTTCTGAGAAGAAGGTATATTTTGTTGTGTTTCAGGGGAATGTTCTATAGGTGTCTGTTAAACCCTTTGAGTCATAGCTTCTGTTAGTTCCTTTATTTCTTTGTTCTGTTTCTGTCTGACAATTCTGTTCATTGGGTAAAGTGGGGGTGTTGAAGTCTCCCACTATTAGTGTGTGTGGGTTGATGTGTGATCTAAGCTTTAGTAATGTTTCTTTTACAAATGTTGGTGCCCTTGTTTTGGGTCATAGATGTTTAAAATTAAGTCTTCATCTTAATGCATTTTTCCTGTGATGAATATGAAATGTCCTTCTTCATCTCTTTTGATTGATTTTAGTTTGAAGTCTATTTTGTTAGATATTAGGATAGCTACACCATCTTGTTTCTTAGGCCCATTTATGGAAAATCTTTTCCCAACCCTTTACTCTGAGGTAATGTCTGTCTTTGAAGTTGAGGTGTGTTTCTTGTAAGCAGTAGAAGAATGGATCCTATTTTTGTATCCATTCTGTTAGCCTGTGACTTTTTATAGATAAACTGAGACCGTTGATATGAAGAGATATTGACCAATGATTGTTAATTCCTGTTATTTTTGGTTTTGTTGTTATTGTTGGTATTGTATTATGTTTCCCTTCTTTGGGGTTTGCTATTGTGTGGTTATCTATTGCCTGTGTTTTTGTGGGTTTAGCTAACTTCCTTGGGTTGGAGTTTTCCTTTTAGTACTTGTAGGGCCGGGTTTGTAGATAGGTATTGTTTAAATATGGTTTTGCCGTGGAACATCTTGTTTTCTACGTCTATGGTGATTGAAAGCTTTTCTGGGTATAGTAGTCCGGGTTTGCATCTGTGGTCTCTTAGTGTCTTCAGCAGATCTGTCCAGTACCTTCTGGCTTTCAGAGTTTCTGCTGAGAAGTCAGGTGTAATTCTGATATGTATGCCTTTACATGTTACTTGTTTTTTTTTCCTTTGCAGCTCTTAATATTCTTTATTTCTTCTGTATGTTTAGTGTTTTGATTATTATGTGGCGAGGAGACACTTTTTTGGTCCTGTCTATATGATGTTCTGTAAGCTTCTTATACTTTCATAGGTATGCCCTTCTTTAGGATGGGAAAGTTTTCTTCTGTAATTTTGTTCAATATATTTTCTGTGCCTGTATCTGGATTTTGCCATCTTCTATCCCTATTATTCTTAGATTTGGTCTTTTTATGATGCCCCAGATTTCCTGGATATTTTGTGTTAAGAGTTTGTTGGATTTAACATTTTCTTTGACTGATGAATCTGTTTCCTCTATCGTATCTTCGACACCTCTCTTCCATCTCTCATAGTTTGTTGGATATGCTTGCATCTGTAGTTCCTGATTGTTTGCAGACATTTTCCATTCCCAGAATTCTCTTGGTTTGTGTTTTCTTTATTGTCTTTATTTCAGTTTTCATGTCTTGAGCCATTTCCTTTCCATTTGATTGCTTTTTTTTTCTTGGCTTCCTTTGCTTCCTCTAAGGGATTTGTTGATTGCTTCCAATTTTTTTTTTGTCTTTTCCTCCACTTCTTTAAGGGAATTTTTCATTTTTTCTTTACGGGACTCTATCATCTTCATAAAATTATTTTTAAGGTGGTTTTCTTCTGCTTTGTCTGCATTGAGATATTCAGGTCTTGATGATGTTGAACCACTAGTTTTGGTGGTGCCATATTGCCCATTCCTTTCTCTCCAGTGGGTATAGGTGGGGGTCTCTGCTTCAGGGTGTCCCTCTTCCTCCAGTTGGTGCAGTCGGGGCCTGTAACTTAGGTCCCTCTTCCTCCAGGTGCAGGCAGTTTCAGGCCTCTGATGGACACTGATATGGCTCTGAGGCTCCTCCAGGTGTAGGAGGAGGCAAGGCTCTGGTGTTTGCTGATGCCTTGAAGGATGATCCAAGGTGTGGGAAGGCTGCTCCCAGGTCCCCGAGTCTTTGCTGGGTGTGGGTAGAGCATGGAATGTGCCAGGGTGGGGTGGGATAGGGCTGGGGCTTGAAGAGTAGGGTTCTCCAGCCGAGGACCCAGATACTCACCTTCTCTAGGTGTCTTCAGGGTCAAGGTTCTGGTGGTCACAGATGCTGTGGGGGATGGTTCTGGGTGTGGGAGGCTGCTCCCGGTTTTTGGGGGCTTCGCTGAGTGGGGATAAGGCATGGGATGTGCCTGCAGGGTCTAGGACCTAGACATTAATACCCTCCAGTCCGGAATCCAGACCCTCACCCTCCAGTGTAGGCAGGGTCAAGGCTCTGGTGCTCTCAGATGCCATGGGGGCTGTTTGCAGGTGTGGGGAGGCGGCTCCTAGGTCTTGCCCCAGTGCTTCTCATGCTTTTAAAATCAGCTTGATGACCAGAGTTTGGCATGTTGGAGGAGAGATTTCTGTCAAGTACACTGAGTGTCTTGTCTCTTTCTAAGGTTCTGAAAAGTACTTGGAATAAGAGTAGTGGCTGCATTGTTGCTTGTGATGTTTCATAGTGTAAATATGGATTTTGAACTTGATTCCCTTCTCAGGTATGAAAAACTGCAGAAAATATGCTCCATCGCCCTGGTTGGTAAATACACCAAACTCAGGGACTGCTATGCCTCTGTGTTCAAAGCATTGGAACACTCAGCCTTGGCCATCAATTACAAGTTGAATCTGATGGTGAGTTCCAGCCTGCTGTTCTAGCTACTTCTTTATTGATTTTTAGTTATTTGTATGTGTACCTATGTCTGTGTGTGGGTGAGTACATGTGAGTGCAAGAGTCACTGGATCCCTGAAACTGGAGGTGCAGGTGATTCTATGCCACTTGATATGAGTGCTGGGAACCCAGCAGTGGGTGTTCTTAACGCTGAACCGTCTCTCCACGCCTTTTCTAGATAGTTCCATCGCTCCAGTATTTTGTATTCTAAAGAAGCAGATTGGATTGGATTGTAGCTCAGTGCTGGAGAGTTTATTTAGCATGATCCATTTATTTAGTTTATTTAGTTTATTTAGCAGGTTCCATCCCCAGCACTGCAAAACAAATAAACGTAATTTACTGTTCTGTTGCTGTGAAGAAAAACCATGGTTAAGGCAACTTTTTTTTTAAATTGGCAACTTGCTTATAGGTTCAGAGGGTTAGTCTATTATCATGGCAGAAGTATGACAGTAGGCAGGCAGTCTTGGTGCTGGAAAAGCAGCTGCGAGCTCACATGTTATCCACAAGTTACAGGCAGAGAGAGGAACACTGGCCCTGGCAAGGGCTTCTGAAATCTCAAAGACCCCCCCCCCCCCCAGTGACACACCTCCTCCAATAAGACCACCCTTCCTAATCCTTCTCAAAACAGTTCCATTAACTAGGGACTAACCATTCAAACATATGTGCCTATGGGAGGCCATTCTCCATCAAATCATCACAGTTGGGGATGTAGCTCAGTGCTAGAGTGCTTCCTTAGTGTGACCAAGTCCTTAGGTCCTTCCACAGCACGGCAAAACAAACACAATTTATAAATTTCCAAAGAGGCAGATTGTGATGAAGTGCTTCTAAGTCCAACTGCTATGTGGAAAGTTGAATAGGAAGACTGACAGGACTCGACATACAGCCATGTCTAAGATTTATGATAGCCAGAGAATACAAAGGAACATCGGCAAGTGGACGAGTCCTATCTGGTAGAATCTGGGGAAAGGCAAGCACAAGCTTACCAGAGGCCTTTCCAACATGGAGTTGCATAGATTCGGCTGAAGTCCCCAGTGGTGACCTGTGATAACTGTGTAAAGTGCTCTTTACTGGGAAGCTCAGTAGAGATTTAGTGGCCAGGCCATTTTCTTTCTTTCTTCCTCTCCCTCTTCTGTCTCTCTTTTTCCATCTCCCTCTCCTTTCCTTACACTTCATGGTACAAGCCTTGAACCTAGGACTTTGAGCATATGAGGCAAATTCTATATCACTAAGCTATATTCCTAACCTTCTTAATTTTATATTTTGAGAAAGAGCTTTGCTAATTTGGCCAGACTGACCTTGAATTCACTTGTACTTTATAAGATCTGGGAAGAGTGAGGCCTCATGAGCTACTACTGAGCTAGACTAGCTCTCAGTTATCGACTGACTGTTAGATAGCTGTAGTATTGTAAATGTTCCTTCAACCTGTTGGGTTCTTGATGTTATTGTTTTGCTTTTTAGTACATAGACTCTATTGATCTGGAGCCAGTCATGAAAGCTGAGGACCCTGTGAAGTTCCATGAAGCTTGGCAGAAGCTATGCTTAGCTGAGTGAGTACCGGGAACTGTCCACATGAGGAGGACAATGTCATTATGGTTTCTCTGTAATTATTTCACTTGCCTCGGTTGCTAAGTTTTGTGCTTTTGGAGTAGTAGTTAGGAGTTCGGGTGGTCTTTGTAGGTGGTTGTGCAGCTTTCATGCAACATTGCATTTAGGTGACATGGGCAGTGGGCGTGGTTTTATTTGGGGAGGGTGGGGAGGGAAAGAGTGCCGATTTACTGAAAGATGCCGTGATGCCTACTGCATATAGAAAATTAAGTATAAGCAGCACCTTTCTCTGATTTTCTTTTCCATGTGTTTACTAATTAATTATAATTAATTAATTAATTAATTGCTGAAATAAGGCCTGTGTAGCCCAGGCTGGCCTGGAAACTGTATGTCTTAGGGTGACCACCTCCTATGTTCGGGGTTTATAGACATGCACTATCATGCCTTGTTTATGGGGTGCTGGGAATGGAATCCTAGGACTATGTGTTAGACAAGTTTTTTGAGACAAGGTTTCTCTGTAGCTTTGTTGCCTGTCCTGGAACTAGCTCTAGTAGATCAAACTGGCCTTGAACTCGCGGAGATCTGCGTACCTCTGCCTCCCGAGTGCTGGGATTAAAGGCGTGCACCACCACCGCCCAACCTAGACAAGTACTCTAACAACTGAGCTGTATCCCCAACCCTTCACACAGTCTGGTTCTCCCCGTCCCATCTCCTTTCTGTAAGCAATTGAGAGAACCCTGGGGCAGCATTGTGTCTTGAGGTTACTATGACCTTCCTGATTTTTCCCTTGAACTTTTTTTTTTTTTGGTTATTTGAGATAGGCTTTTTCTGTGTAGCTCTGGCTATCCTGGACCTTTCTCTGTAAACCAGACTGGTCTCAAAGCTACAAAGCTCAAACCGTTGTTTTTAGTTTAAGTGTTTGCTCTAGCCAGGGCATTTTCATTCACTGTTACTTAATTGGCCACTGAAATCATAGGCTGCTTTTATCAGCTTAACTCTTTCTGATGATGTAAGATGCTGCAAGTTTTTATATAGTAGTTAGAACCCAGCTAGGTGTGATGGTATATACCTGTAATCCCAATGCTTGGGAGAATGAGGTGGGAGGATTCAGATTTCAAGTCTAGTCTTGTCTATAGAGTGAGTTTGGGGCTGGTCTGCGCTCCATGAGTCCCTGTCTCAAAAATTTAACAACAAAGGGACTTTAATCCATTTTTATTTTCATTCATTTTATGTTTCTCTTTCTTTCTCCCTTTCTGCCAGCCCTCAGAAATTTTTGTTTGTTTTGTTTTGTTTTTGTTTTGTTTTTGAGACAGGGTTTCTCTGTATGTAGCCCAGGCTGTTCTGGAACTCACTCTGTAGACTAGGCTGGCCTTGAACTCACAGAGCTCTGTTTGCCTCTGCCTCCTGAGTGCTGGGATTAAAGGCATATGCCACCATTGCCTGACTAATTCTTTTATTTCATATTCTTTTATTTATTTGTTTTTGCCTTTTGAGACAGATTTCATTATATAGTCCAGACTGGCCTAGAACTCTGAATCCTCCTGCCTCAGCCTCTGGAGTGCTGGGATTATGAGTATATTTCACCAACACAGTTGTCATTGTAGTCTTTGATTTTGTTTTGTTTTATTGGTGCAGACTCTTGCTGTTTAGCCATAGTCAGCTAGCCTGGAACTTGTAGCAATCCTCCTGCTTCTGCCTTTTAAGTGTTGGGTTAATAGACATGTACTGCCATGACTGGCTGTCCACATTTTTTATTGAGCATAATTTCTCAGTTACTGTAGTCGAAAGCCACAAATACCTATCAGAAAATATATTAAAGTCAATTGCAAGAAACTGTCCCCATATGTCCCCATAAGGTTGAGCTTCAAAGATGTTTAATTATGTAACCTATTCTGAAAATAGACCTCAGACATTCACTAGTGATTATGCCAAGCTTTGAGTTTGGGAACATTGGACATAACTGATGAAAACACAAGTTTTAAAAATAAAGGTAATGTGGGTTGGTGAGATGGCTTAGTAGGTAAAAGTTGTTGTTGCTAAGTCTGCCAACTTGAGTTCGATACGTGGCACCCACATAGCAGAAGGAGAGAGCCAAATGTTACAAGATGCCCTCTGACCTTCGCATACTCTCACTGTGGTATGTACTTGCCACATGGACCCACAGACACACTCATTCACACAGAGTAATTAATTAATTAAAAGTATTGTTAAAATGGTGACTGGTCAACTTTATTTTCATCTTGTGTTCATTTCAGTGGCATTCTTGTGCCTGGAGGCTTTGGACTCCGAGGAACAGTGGGAAAACTCCAGGCAATTTCTTGGGCAAGGACAAAGAAGATTCCATTTCTGGGTAAAACTTTTTATTTATTAAGCCTATGAGTTTTACGTATTTTTTTTTTCAGTGCTAGGAATTGAACCTAGGGCTTTAAGGATACATGCAAGGCAACTCTGCCATGGAGGTATATTGCCAGCTCTTATTCATGTTTTTGACCTAAGGTAGGTGTCCTACACTAGTTGGGGTAACATGTAATAAGGTTTGTTCTTGTGATGGTGTGAACTTACTTTTGAAAGTCAGGCACCAAATCATTTGCTACAGGGCTTATCAAACTGAATGTGGCTCCTAGCTTGCTTTTGTAAACCAAGTTTTATTGTAACACAACCACCCAGTTGGTTTTGCATGTTGCTCATGACTGCATAGTTGACGATTCAATGACTTGTAAAGCCTAGAATTATTACTTCCAGTTTATAGGAAACATTTGTCTCTGAGTTGCAAGAAGCTGGAAGAAGTTTGTCCCTGTATTCTTCTTACCAGTCCTCTTAGCACTTCCAGCAAAAAGCTATTCCCAGAACTCTTTAGTAGCCTGTTTGAAAAAGTGCTTAAGCCAGGTGTGGAGTGCACGCCTTTAATCCCAGTACTCAGGAGACAGAGGCAGGCGGATCTCTGTGAGTCTGATTGAGACCAGCCTGGTCTACAGAGTGAGTTCCAGGGCAGCCAGAGCTACAGAGAAACCTTGTCCTGAAAAAAGAAACAAATGAGTGAACACACAACAACAAAAAGCAAACAAAACAAAACAAAACAAAAACCCCAAAAAACCAACCAACCAAACAAACAAAAAAACGCTTAAGTTGAAACTTTGCGTGTGTATGTGAGGTACTGGGGATGAAACCCAGGACCTCATGTGTGCTAAATAGGCACTCTTCTACTGTGCTCCATCCACAGCTCTAAGTTGAAACTTACATTCATTTTAGAGAAGAGAATACAGAAAAATCAGTCAGGGCCACAGGAGTAGCTCTGTTAAAAGTTGCTTATACCAGGTCTTTTTTCTTTCTTAAAAGAGGTGAGGTCTTACCGTCTTACTGTGTTTGTCTAGGCTGATCTTGAATCTCTTGGTTCAAGCTATCCTCCTGTCTCAGCATCCCAAATACTGGGCATATATGACTATATCTTCAGAGACAGGTCTTTTGAATGCTCTCGTTTAATTTGTGAAGCCTAGTTTGTAATTTGTCAAGCCAGATGACATGGGAGCTGGATGTGCTAAAGGCAGCTCTGCTGCTGTAGATTCAGGTAGGAGAGGCATGGAGGCCCAGTTGCCCACTGTGTTTTAGGTATTCTGGTGGCTTTGTGAGCTGAAAGGAAGATTTGCTGTCTTTTACTATCAGCAGAATGTTAGATGTTAGTTTTTTCTACTACCTGCTCTTTTTCTGGATACTCCATAATTTTGGGACCTCTTTCCCAATAAAAATCCCTGATACTTCCTTTGCTTTATTCTGACCTAAGCTCATTTGGACCATTGTTAATTTTTGCTTCTTAAGATGGGGTGTTAAGGCTGGGGAGATGGCTCAGTGGGCAACAGACATCCTGATTTGATCCCCAACACTCACATTAAAAGCTTGGTATGACTGTACATGCATAAAACTTTAACACTGTGTGTGGGGGTAGGGAGAAAGGAGGGCTGCTGGGGCAAGCTAGCCTAGAAGAATTGGCAAGCTCCAGCTTCTTCACCCTGTATCAAGGGAATGAAGTAGAGATTGAGAATTCAGAACTCCTGACGTTTTTTCTGGCCTTTGTACTTGGGTATGAATTATCACCCCACATGTGTATATATGTCATGTACACACACAAAAAGAGCATGTGTATTAGTTACTTTTCCATTGCTATGATAAAACATCATGGCCAAGCAACTTACAGAAGGAAGGGTTTATTTGGTGCTTACAGTTTAGAGGGAGAGGAGTACATGACCATCATGGTAGGGGTCATGGCAGCAGGCAGGTAGGCATGGCCCTGGAGCAGTAGTTGAGGGCTCATATTTTGACCTGTAAGCAGGACGCAAAGAGAGCTAACTCAAAATGGCAAGTCTTTTGAAACCTCAGGGCCTGCCTGCAGTAATATTTCTTCTAGTCACCCCCGAAACATCTTCCAACTGGAGACCAAATATTCAAACTTATGAGCCTATGGGCCATTCTCATTCAAACTGTCACAGGATGTTTTAATACAGGATGTTTTTATATAGCTCAGGCTGGCCTCAAAGTTGCTGTAAAGCCAAGGATGACCTTGAACTCTTGATCCTCCTATCTTCACTTCCCTAATGCTAGGATTCCAGACAGGCACTAGTTTATGCTTTAGTGTGAAATGGAACCTGGAGTTTTGAGCAGGTTAGGCAAGCACTCAGTCCACTGAGCTACAGCTCTGCCCTTGACTATTTGTTTTTTTTCTTTAAATCTCTCTGTAAAGTCAGTTTCCATTTAAACTTGGTTAAAGCTTCTGATGTGATTTTCATTGTATGGCATGTTCGCAAGTTGTTCTCAAGTCTCTCATGTGTGCTCTTTATTCTTTTTTGTTTGTTTGTTTTGTACAATTAAAGGCATGTAAGACAAAATGACCAATAAGTACCCTGTTTTGTTTTATCTGCATTATGTCTGTGCACCACATGGGTACCTGGTAGTCTTTGAGGTCAGAAGCCAGATTCCCTAGCACTAGATTTCCAGGGTTTTGTTAGCTGCCATGTGGGTGCTGGAAATCGAAACTGGCTGTTCTGGAAGAAAACAAGTTCTCTCTCTCTCTCTCCCTCTCTCCCTCTCTCCCTCTCTGTTTTTTAAGATAGAGTTTCTTTGTGCTACTGAGCCATCTCTTCAGCCTCAAGTGCTTCTGTTTTATACAATGCATGCTATATCTGGTCTGTCAATAAATATAAATAATGTATAAAGTGGCCAGTGAAATTCTTTTCACATTTCTGCTGTTTTACTCTATTTTTTCAATATACATGCTTTGTACATGTATATAGTGTATGTTGAACCTATTTTCTCTCATATCCCCATCCTCAATTGAGCCTTGAACTTGTGTAGCAAGGCTGGTTTTGAACTCCCGATCTTCCTCTCTATACCTCCTATGTGCTAGGATTACAGATATGTATCTTTGTTTCACAGCATCATGTCTCTTTATGTACTAGCCGCGTGGAACTTTCTGAAGTTCCTTGAGCACTAAACCATTTCCTGTGTATCCCTTTAACCCTGGAATGTTGGTGCATTGATGATTTCTCCCCTTGCATCTCCTGGATCACATATCTGTAATAGCATCTGGAATGCTCCTTGCTGTCTGTTTATAGGAGGGAGTTGATGGGCTACAGTGAGTGTGGAGATAGGTTCAAAATCATCTGTATGGCAACAGGCCTGCAGTGACCCAGGCCTTTGCATTCCACTTACCTTTTTTTAAGATTTATTTTTATTTTATGTGTCTAGGTATTTTGCCTGTATGTGTGTCTGTGTACCACATGCATGCAGTACCCTTGGAGACCAGAAGAGGGCTTTTCTTTCTGGAACTGGAGTTAAAGATATTTTTGAGCCGCCATATGTTGGTGCTGAGGACCTGCAAGAGCAACGAGTGTTCCTAACTTCTGAACCACCTCTCCAAACCACTTCTACCTTTTTTGAGCACCTGCTCAGTTTCATTTTGTGTCTTCTAGCCTGCTTTTTGCCATAGCACTGGTGCTAGCCCCTGCTGCTCCTTTTCTCTTTGAGATTAGCAGTTCCCCTTCAGATTAGGAGGTCGCCCTCAGATTGGCCAACCTCAGGTTGCCATGTGGCCAAGGCCATGTTTTGGTTGTGAAATCTTGAGAGGTGGGAGTGTGAAATCTCAGCTCGAGGAGACTTCCTCTTGAGTCGGGGTGTTGTTAGACATGCTCTGAGAAGGTCAAGGTCTTTGAAACAGTTCTGCAGCCCAATAGGTGCCTTGGTTCAAGAATAGCTGTGGCAGATGGCATATTTGTCTTCTGGGAGCTGGTCCTCACCTGTCTTCCAGTGGCTTCTTGCTCACCTCTGGACCTTAGGTTGCTCCTTTAGTTTTGACTGCTATCACTCAATAGAACTCAATAGTTCCAGGAACTATTCTGGGTGCTAAGGGGATCACAGGGAACTAAGCGGGAAGTCTTCCTCTCCTGAAGTCTTCATTCTTAGAGATTTCAGGAAACAGTTGAACACAAAATGTCACTAGATAGAAAACATGCTCATGTGCTTCTCCTAATAGGAATTTGCCTTGGGATGCAGCTGGCAGTGATTGAGTTTGCAAGAAACTGCCTGAATTTGGAAGGTAAGTCTAAGGTTTACTAAGCACTGTTTATTTAAAACAAGAACATGTGTCAGCAATATTGGTAAACCACTAAATGTCTTTGTCTTTAGATGCTAATTCTACAGAGTTCGAGCCAAACACTCCAGTTCCATTGGTAAGTGGCTTGTAGATCTTTCTGGGTCCAGTCATTGTCATTCTGTTTCATTTCTTACCTAGCTCCGTAACAGGTAATTACTGTCTTCTCCTAACAGTGGCAGAACTTTAAACATTATATATAAATTTATTATTTCCTATTGTTTTTGCTTCCAACTGCTTTGTTCTCACTAGTCTATCTTGCCAGCTGTGCCTTGAAGAAACACAGCTCTGCCTGATTTGTCTTTGCAGCAGCTTTCAAGCTTAATGTTTAGGAAAGGAATAAATTGACTGTGACAACAATTTCTAACAGCTAATATAAATAAACGAGCTGTCCCTTCTCTCGTCTTGTCCCCAGTCTTCCTATTTTCCACATTGGTGGCCATCTATTCTTCTAAGAAATGGCAACTGTTAGTCCTCACCTGCCCATTCCCTTTTCCCCCAGGATACTCACTCAGTCATGGGGCTAGAGAGACGACTCAGTGGCTAAGAGTGCTCGCAACTTTTCCAGAGGATTCAAGTTTGGTTCCCAGTACCCCCATTAGGCAGCTCATAGCCACCCATAGCTCCAGTTCTAGGGATCTGACACTGTCTTTTTGCCTTTGTTGGCATCTACGTATGTGTGCACACAAATAATAAAGAAATGGTTGTGTGTTTTTGTTTCTTTGAGACAGGGTGTCATTGTGTAGTCATGTCTGTCCTTGATCCACCTGCCTCTGTCTTTCAAGTGCTGCGATTAAAAGCAGGTGCCACCGTGCCTGACTATAAGTTTTTTTTTTAAAGTTAGGATCCTTTGCCAAGCTGGAAGGTGCTCACATTTCATCATTTGCTGCTTTATTCATTTGTTTCATGCCGTTTCAATTCCTCTCACACTTAGGGGTTCCAGTTTGGACAGTCTGAAGTAGTATTTTTCAGTTTTCCCATGGAGATTCCTTATATGTCCCTCTTATGGTCTTTCTCCTGAAACCTTAATAAAACCAATGAAGAATTGAACCATTTGTTCTAGAATGGCTTTATTTCTGTGCCTTCGAGTTCTTGCCACACTCATTAGTAATTCTTGTCTTTCATGCCTGTCCATGGTTCTTGGCTTGCCTGGTCATCATTTGCCTGTCTGTGTGTATTTAGTTACATTCTTGCTGCCAAGCATCCCTATCTGATAATCAGCGGCCTTCATATAATGGTATAATGGTTATACTCTCCTTGGTTGGTTTTCCACTTTTACGTGTGTGTGTGTGTGTGTGTGTGTGTGTGTGTGTGTGTGTATCATATGGACTGTTTTGCAGTTATTAGTTTTCTTCTGCTATGTGTTCTGGGGAATGAACTCAGGTTGTTAGGCTTGTGTGACAGGCATTTTTAACCCACTGAGCCATTTTATAGGCCTTTCCTTTGTTTTAGATGTGGCTTACCTAGAACTCATTGTGTAGCCCAGGCTGGCCCCTACGCTCACAGCGATTCTCTAACCCTAATCTCTCAAGTGTTGGAGTCACAGGTATTAACTGCCATGCCTGTTTCTCTCTGTGGTTTTTAAAGAATTTATTTACTTTGTGTGTATTTGTACACTCTCGAGCACGTATGTGTGGATTCACGTGGCACGGCATGTGTGTGGAGGTCAGACAACAACTTGCAGGAGTTGGTTCTTCTGTGTAGCTCCTAGGGATCAAGCTCAGGCTGTGGAGCTTGGGACCGGTGTCTTTACCTGTTGAGCCATTTGCCAATCATCATTATTATTAACATCTTACAGATTTTGGCCATTTGAGGTTCTCATTCAGTGTGCTTTAGTGGTTTTACAGATCTGTGTCACTATCATGGCAGTCAGTTTTGGATCACTTTATTTCTTAAAAAGAAAAATTCCAAGGCTTGGAATGTAGTTCAGTTGGTAGAGTGTTTTTCAGTATATACAAAACCCTGAGTTCCATCCTCAGCACTGTATAACTGGGGCATATTTTTATTTGTTATATGTGAGGTGCTAGATGTCATTAGTACTGTCCTCAATTATGACACCAAAATTTCCTCTAGATATTGCCAAAATGGTTAGAACTGTCTCCATTGACTTTGGGCTCGAATGACGGCTCAGCAATTAAGAATGTGTACTGCAGATGGGCATGGTGGCTCATGCCTTTAATGCTAATGATCTCTGTGAGTTGAGACTAGTCTGCTCTACATAGTGAGTTCCAGATCAGCGAGGACTACACAGAGATATCCTGTTAAGAAAATGTGTACCGCTCTTGCAGAGGGCCTGAGTTTTGAATCTCAGAACTGATAGTAGGCAGCTCACAACTGTCTGTAACTCCCGCTCCAGGGTATCCAGTGCCTCTGACCTGCACTTTTGTACATATCTACACACAGATGCATAATTAAAAATAAAGTAGTCATTGGCTTAGAGAAATCTAGTTCTATTATTATTTCTTATACTAGTTACTTTTCTCATCCTTATGACATAATTAATACCCCATCCCAACAGCTTAAGGGAGGAGTGTTTGGTTTTTAAGTTGAGATGGGTTATCAAGGAACCCTATGATAACTTGGACTTTTGATTCTTTGATGTTACCTCCCAATTTCTGGGATTCCAAGTATATACTATCACTTTTGGTTTATGTAGTGTTGGGGATGGAATCCCAGGACTTTGTGAATGCTAGGGAAGCACTCACCCAGCTTAACTACCTCCTGAGCCTTGAATGGTTTCTTTTGCCTCACAGTTTGAGGAGATATAGACCATCAGAATAGAGACAGCATAGTGGTGGGACTGGTTCCTATCCATGTTGGTGGGAACAGGAGGAACATGCTGTAGGCAGACTCCAAGTGTAGAGCAAAGCTGGCCTATTAACCTTCATCCATTCCTAAACAGCCCAACATTTCTCTGCCAACTAAGCCCCTCATCCAAAAGCTTCCTTAGCTTCCCTAAACAGCACTACAGCTAGGGAGTAAGTGTTCGAACAGAGGGCCCGGGAGGGTGCACTTCATACTGGTATAACAATACTCCTTTACCTTCCTGTATAGCAACTATTTGTTATGTTTTTCTTGATTTATTCCATTGAAAAAATGACATTTTATTTGAGTGTGTGTGCATGTGTGTGTATGTGTCTAGGCACATGTGCCACAGTTTACGTATAGTGCTGGCGACAACTTTTGTAGGATTTGGCGCTCTTCTTCTACCACATAGGTCTTAGAGAGGTCTTGGGGGTAGAACTCTGATCATTAGCTTGGTGACAAGTATCCTTATCCACTGGGCCATCTTGTCAGCCCCATTTTTCCATTAAAAAATATCAATAGGGGCTGGAGAAATGACTCGGCAGTTATGCACACATGTTCTTGCAAAGGACCTGGGATCAGGTCCCAGCACTCACACGTCAGGTCATAATCATCTATAACTCTTGTTCCAGGGTATTTGACACCCTCTTCTGTCCTCCGTGGGTACTTCATGATCATGGTACACTTACAAACATGCAGACAAAACACTCACACATATAAATAAAAATAAATCTTGAAATTAATTAAAAATAAAAACAAATGTGTATGTCCATCTGTAACTTATCCCCTTTTTAGTTACATCATAGCATATTCTTCTCATTTATTTTCTGATTTGCTTTTTTTCACCCCATGGAAGAAATATTCTTGCCTTTTTATAGCTTTCAATTCAAACCATAATGAACTGTCACTTTCCAGCTAGATGGTACTTTTAAGCCTTATGCTCAGAAGGCCTCATATCAGCAAAGAGTTCCTTAGGAGGCTTTAATAGAAATGTATTTCCTGAGTAATAGCTGCAGCGACTCTGCCAGGAAAATGATGGGTTTTCTTTTTCAGGAGATACATTAGGATAGGAAGGGCTTTTACCAGTAGGTGTCGCTATTAGACAGCGTGTCAAGGTTAGGTCTTTGATGACTATGCTTGCTCTGTATGTGTGTTCAAAGAAAAATTGATACACAGGATAAAGTTAAATCTGCAGAGAAGGCATAAAAGGACTTCATTTGCCTTATTTTGTGTTACTTCTCTTCCAAAGAAGCAACTACATTCATTTTTTTGCTGTTGTTATTAGTTCAGGGATGTGTGTGTGTGTGTGTATGAAGAGAGAGAAAGAGAGAGAGAGAGAGAGAGAGAGAGAGAGAGAGAGAGAGAACGAGAGAGAGAGAGAGAGAGAGAGCGAGCGAGCGAGAGCGAGCGAGAGAGAGAGAGAGAGAGAGAGAATACATGTACATATGTGTGGATGAATGTATAGACTTTTGGAGGGGGAGGCAGTGCAATGAATGGGAATTCAAGGCACCATGTATACTAGCTTAGTGTCCTAGCCTACCACTGGGCCATACCCACAGCCACTTTAGCTAGCATATTGAGACATTGTCCCCACCTTACACTGATTACCTATCATTGTGTTAGAACCTTTTACAGCTTGCTTAGCTGTGTGCACTATGGGCACGACAGTATTTATTGCATTTATGGTATTGTGTTTATAGTCTTGTATTTAGGTTTTACTCTTTGTTAACCTTAAATCACTCTACATTTTGACCTCCACATACAGTATGTTCTTTACCCACACATAAGCACATCTGTGGGATGAATCCATAGAAGGGAAACTGCTAAGTCAGAGGATGTATGCATTTTACATTTCAGTGGCTCCTATACACATAAGTGAGATGAAAACAATAAAACCTAATTGCTATTGAATGTCTTTATGTGCTGAGATCACTTTGCTGGAGAAAAATAGCCTTAAGAGCCAGCAGTTGTGCTGATGGCTGAAAGTCTTATTAAAGAAAAAGACTAAGGGGAATGGAATCATAAGGCAGCCAACACCACAATGCCTGATACTTGGGCAGATAGCAATTACTTAGTAGGCATGATCGTTCCGTCTCTTCTAGCTAAAGAAAGTAAACATGTTGGAAACCAGGAGACTCTTTTAGGATATGTCTACTCCTAAAATCTGTTTCATTTCTCTGGTTGTCATTACCCCTGCCCTTTTTTTGGCATGCAAGGTAAGTATTATGGTTGCTTACAAAATCAATGGAGACACTGTTATTCAGAACAGCCTCT